CCACGTGTTTTCCAAAGTGCAGAAGAATACGAGGGCTCCGTTTCCGAAAAAGATACGGACCTGGGCATATTTCACGGGGCGGTTTCCAAATTTCTTTCCCGGCGGGCCGTAACTCACCCTCGTTGAGGGCGCTCGTTATCGCGCCGAAAACCGTCACCTCGTTATCGAAATGACAAAAAAAAAAAAAATAAAGGTGGAAGAGGAGAAGGTTTCCCGGGTCCAGATTGCATCCATCGTTTAGCACCTCGACGGGATGGAAAAAAGAAAAGGAGGAAGGAAAAAGAGGAGTCGCTTCCCAGAGCTCGAAGATGGAGACGCGGAGTCTCGAAAGGGCGGCTGGGAAGAAGTTGAAAATTAAGAGGCACTTTTCGCGCGACGTTTTTCCTTTGAAAATCGATAAAAGTCGAGCCGAGAACCCGAAGGCATCCGAGGAACGGCCACGCCTCCTACCAAGAGAAATCTCATTAGGAGTGGGCGCCTCCACCTTCCTCCGTGTCTTCGCCGTCGATCCTTGGGGTCCCCTTCGAGGTGAGGAGACGACTAATCGCTCGATGAAGAAATGTTCCCACCACTTGCAGCCCCTTTGCAAACGAATCGATGAAAAGGAAATCGATTAAAAAGTGTCCGGAAATAAAAATAAAAATTCTAGAGAATTTTGAAATACCATATTAACGCGAGTTTAAGAACCATCGAGAAAATTTGTCCAGAAAATTTGTTGAAAAAATTGCAGAAAATGTGAAAATTTGAAGTCCCACCCGAACCTCGAGGCGAGGCGACGCGAGTCCTACCGAGGGGTGATACCTTATCACGCGATCTCCATTCCGCGCTTTTGCGAGGCAATTTAAATTTTCGCAGCTCGACGTTTCCCCTTCTCCCGAGATCCCTCGGGACTTTTCACATGGGAGGCGCATCCTGTAGGAGGGTTTCCGGCGCTTGCAGCTCCTGGCAGTCGGCCAATGCAATCGCAGGGCCATTATGCAAATCGATGCCAAACTGTTGCACCGAGGATGCACCGCGAGAGAGGGCGACTTCCCCGTCGAAAACGACTCGATGCCGCCGCGTGGCCGCGTTTTCCGTTTCCGCTTTCCTCCTTTTCCTTTCTTCCCGTCCCGTTTCCCCCCCGCCGTTTGCGGATCCCGCGATCCCTCCCCCTTGTCAAGGGGCTCGTTGACTTTTCGCCGAGGCCGGACCCCATCGCGTGTCGTCGAAGCCGTATTCCACCGATCGCGGTCTCGCGGAGGTTTCCCGCAACGCTTACGATCGGCCCTCCCCTCTCCTCTTCTTTTTCTCTCTCTTTCCCTCGCATTCGTCGTGCTCGTCTCGTTTGACCCATCGAGAGAAGTCGAGGTTAACGGGCAATCCTCGAAAATGCAAGTGCCACCCGATGCAGCGGAAAGACCGAAGCTCGACCTCTCGTTCGCCTCGAGGTCTTTTCCTCCAGTGCGGAGTGCGTTTCGCTGCACGCCATGTAATTCTCGCGAAATCGTTTCTGCGAACGATACGATCTGACGTGGCCGCATAAAACGTGTCTCGATTAACACCGGGAATAATCGAGGCGATTGCCCGCTCTCGCCCTCCCCCTGGAAACGCTCCGATAGCGATTGCACTCTTCTTCGCTTCACTTTATACTCTTCCGGTCGGAACTAAACGCGACTCTACCGACTCGTCGCGGAATTCCCCCCGATGGGAGGTCCGAGCGAAACCGACGTCGAGGAACCGGGCACGCGACGTGGGGTCGGTCGATCGATCGATCTCTCGCCTCGGGGAGGCACGAAAATGATCGCCTGGCCGTGATTGCTTAACCATCGATTTATTAGGGTCGGCTCCGTAATTGAATCCCCAGGATAAGTCCGCGACCGCCGGAAACGTTTTACGGGGGTGGACCCGGTGGGTCTCGGAGCCAGCCCCGCAAGGGCTCGTACGAGTCCCTTCTGCCTCCACGCCCGGAAATAGAGGCCCGTCCCTTTCGCCACCTTGCTTCGTCCCCGAAATCGAAATCGATTCTCCTACGATGCCGTCTTATCGCCCCTCGAATCTCCCGCCATGAAAGAAATCCCCCAGAATTTTCTACCCCGGGGCGAATCCTTTCCCTCCGCGTTCTCACCCTTGACACTCCCTTTCGTCGTCGGTACGAGTTTATGGATCATTTTTTATAATCCGTAAGCTTAAACTTCCCTCGAGGACGAGATCTTCTGCCCAGGACGAATCGATGCGGATCACCGTTTGCGACCCACGACCCCGGAGACAACCACGAAACGAGGATACGGCGACCCGGTGACCCGCGAATCCTCGAAGTGGGGTCAATGATTGGAATCACCCGTAAAAAGGGGTGGCATTCTACCTAGGGCAACCGTCCGGTGTCCGGAAAACGCGGAAAGCATCCCCCGCGGCCCCCATCGGGGCTGCAAAGGGAGGTCAGGGAGCAGCCTGCGGAAAATTAGGAGGGTGGCGTACACGCGTACGCGGAAATCTATACGTGGGAAAGTACGCCGCGCACTTGGGACTGGTATCGGACATGTCCGACCCTGACGTGGCGTATCGATTGGAGACGCGGTCGAGGGTGAACGGGGTTTAAGGACAAACCGCCCCCGTTTAGGGGACCTAGACCGACATCCTCCCTTCCGGCCTACCCGAGAGGACGACTCGACGTTTCCGACAGATCCTGCGGGACGAGATAGCACCTAGACATTCTCAAGCATCCCCGAAATAATGGGATTTTAGGTGGGAAACAGGGAGAGGGCTCAGCGATCTCGGGACGTCAGGATGCTACGCCGGCCCAGGGTAAACCAGGTCTTCGTTAACGCGACAACGTAGCCGCCAAACGGACGAGCCCTTCGAAGGGATGATCGCGTCCGCGAATCATTCCAGAGAATGAAAAATCGCATCCCACCGGAGTACGCCTCTCGAAGTCCCAGCAAAGCCGGGGAATTGCGGGCGTCTCGACGCGGAATCGGGAAGGAAGCCACTTTACCGCGCAATATCGCAAACCCGTCGTAATCCGGGGCGGAGTACACGGCCAGGAGCGACAACCGCAACGAGCCTCGGTACAATTGTTATATCCGCTTCCGGATTACCTCGTATAATAAGAACACACCGGGAGGAGCAATGAAAGGACAGTTACCGGGGTAATAACGGCATCCCGAGGGCGAGGAGGGGGCAAAATCGGGCGGGGATCCCGTTTTATTAAAAGCCGTGTTCCCCGGGAAGAGGGGGTCGTCATCTTGCGATTCTCTCGGCGCCTACTCCAGAGAGGGGGTAGGAGGAGAGGCGCAGGGAAAGCAAGAGGACACGAGAAATCCATCGGGCTCCTCTAATTTTTATTTATCCCTTTCGCTTCGTATTTCCGCGGGAGAGCCACGATTTTCCCGGGCAAACGGGGAAACGACGAAATTCGCGCGCGAGGGAAATCACGAGAAATGAGTAAAAGGAGGGAGAGAGGGGGGACAGGAGAGACGGCGACCCTAATTTCAAAGAGAGAAATGGGGTTGCCCCCCTCTCTGCCGAGATCAAGCGAAATAAGCCGCGACCTTCTTTTCTCCGCAGGGGGGCCGATATCCCGAGGGAGAAGGCAGAGCTAATCAATTCCCGGTCCAGGAATTAAGGAGGGCCTTCCGATCGGGATCGGAAGTGCCATCCGAGTTTTTGAGATGACCCCTTGCGGGGGCCGAACGAGGTCTCCCTTTTCCCTTCGTGACAATTAGCGGGGGGAATCCCCTCGTAATCCCCCGGGATTTCGCGAGCTTCGGACTTTTCCCGAGGGATAGGCGATTATTACTTCCGCGCGAGACCCATCCCGTGGCGCGGAAACGCCTAACTGGCGGCCATTCCGCGCCAAAGGACTCGTCGAGGGAATGTCGCAGGTGTGGGGTATTCCTGGGGAAAAGATGATTTTCAGAACGGCTCGTCGCGGCGTGTTTCTATATTCCCGAAATTCGACATTTCGCGACGAGGGCAGGGAAAACTCACGGAGAATCGGCGTTTCCGCGGCAGCCGCTCGCCCGGAAACGGAGTGCGGATTTTCCGCGGACCCGCGCAAAAGGAAACCCATTTACTCGGTTCCCGACTGATTGGAAGACGTTCCCTACCCTGGGGGAGAGGGCCTTCTTCCCCTTCCTTTGTCGTCAATTTTCCCCCACGAGGGTATAAAATCGCGGCCCGATCGAATCCTTCGGGGCGACAAAGAGGGAATCCGTCCTCGCTCCTGGAATTCCCTGCCCCCGGCAATGCATTATCGACTGCAATTCGATAACTCGTTATTCAATGAAACGCGAAAGAAACGCCTGCGAATCGGCCCGAGGACGTACCAATTTTTTCCTAAAAGTAGGAGGGCGACCCTAGAGGAAATCCCTCGAGGCGAGGCGATCTTTCCTCTTGCCGTTACATCGAGGAAATAAAAATGGGAGCAGGTCGATGAAAGGGAGGGGGGGGGTGTGGCTCTACGGGACACTTTTAACAGCGACTCCCCCCGTGAAAGGCGACATTCAGGCCAAAGGGAGATTTTAAAGATGACGAGAGTCCCCCCCCCCACCCCGAGATGAAAAGCCGAGATGACAGGATCGATAATGAAACGACTCCCAGGACGAGGTCCTCGCGGTCCCGTTGACGAACCGCCGCGGAACGGGTTCCGCAAATCGCCGGTTAATTGCGCCGATATCTTGGGTTCGAAGTTCCCCTGCATCGAAATCCTTGCTCAGCAAGTGAAAGGGTGAAGTCACCGATTCCGTAAAAAAAAAACGCGAGTCCTCTCCGACATTTGCGTGTACTCATTTTTACGAGCCATCGTTAGGCGACCGCAAGTTCCGCGATACCGCGACAAGTGGCCTCGGCGTTCAAGTCCCGAGCAAAGTGACCGACTTGAATGATCCGCTTAGACCGCGGCGGCGGAAAATTCCTGATTAATCGGTGCCCCTCGTAATTAACGAAACGCTCGACTCGGCCGACGTTTACGAGCCGGCGGTGACGGAGGTGGCCGCGCGCGGCCGAACTGCGGCCAAACCGCACGGAAGGGCCGCCGGGGCGATGCGCCGAACGGGAGCTCCGTCCGTCTTTTGGGCGATCGCTCTGATCAGCTTTCCCGGTGAGAAGTCATTTTCTGGACCTTTTTCCCCTCTCTCAAAACCTTATAATCGGTACGCCCGATGGTTTCAACTACGCTAATCTTTTTGAAATATAGATATATATTTAATAAACTAGAGTCTACGTCTAAATTTTTATTTAAGAAAAAGAATAAAAATAATATGTGACAAGTCGTTTAGTAATCTATGTCTCTTTCGCGGAATTAATCGTCGAAAATGATTTCCTCGTGATTTAGGGATCCTAGGATCGGAGGTGGATCGAAGAATCAAGGTTGGATGCGAGGGGAGTCTCGACGCCTCGGGGTGTTCCCAGGTGCCCGCCAGAGTCCCGGTTATTCCCACAGGACACTTGGGACTTACGAAGGGTAAACGGGAGCGCAACGACGCGCTCGAGTCGCGGGTGAGTATACCCGAGTTCTCTCGCGTCGTTTCACGGCCGTTGCGCCTCTCGGACGCCTCGTAAAACGCGGACGCCCGTCCCGGAACGGACCAGGATTTTTTCACCTCTTCCCGCAGGACTTCCGAGGCGGAACGCCATCCAGGAGAACGGCGGAAAGGACGGATTCCCCTAATAAGGGGTCCGTAGGTTTGAAAGACCGACGGGACAAATCTGGGGCGTCCTCGGCGGAAACGGCCGCGTTTCCGAATACCGAGGTGGCTACCGACCCAATCCCGAGTGTTTCTTCGAGTCCTCCTCGAAGTACGACCTCGAGTACCGAAATCCCTCCCGACGCTCACGGTGCGGAATATCCAGGACGGACGCCCGAGCCCCCGACGTTCGAGGAGCACGAAATCCTCCCAGTTTTGGACAAGTTTTTCGAGTTCGGGGGCGAGTTCTTCCTCGGGAAGATAAAGCTAGAGCTGAAGAGGCAGCTTATGGAGACCGGCCTGCTCGACGCCCTGAGCGAAAAATTCAAGATTCTCCTCGAAATGGCGGACGGCGACGTCAACGCCGCGACAGACAAAATGCGCTCGCAGCTCAAAGAGAGCCTAAACAGGCCCTCGACCCGCGAGAAGATGCGGAAGCTTTTATTTAAATTCGGGCGCAGGCTCGACGTCACGGATTTTTAGCAGAGGTCCCCTCGGAGTAGAAAAACTAAATAAAAATTCCCCCTTTTGGAAAAATTGGAAAAACTTTTTTCCTGTCTTTTATTTTTCTCCGTTTTCTTTTCAATCGCCCCCGAGAGGGACTCGCGCATGTCCGAGGTCGCTCATCGTTTTTCCGGAGGGTGGAGGACAAATCGAGGGAACAACGAAGATCATCTCCCGCGATTAAAGGAGAGGGGAAGTGGGGTTATGTCGGGCGCGAATCGCGACCCTCGATTGGCTCTTCCGCGTCGGGTGCTTTCGAAACAAAGCTCTCTTCCTCTCTCTATCGGTGGGACTCGATTAAATACCTCGTTCCTTTTTTTCTCCCCTCGTTTTTTCCATCCCCTTCGCCCCCGGGCATCGATTCCCACCCAGCTCGTAATTCCAGCCGCGTTGCAGGCATTCGCTGCACGCAGAGTCCGCGATGCAATTCGTTCCGGCGAATCCGCACGAATCCGCACGAATCCGCACGGATCCGACTCGTAACGCGCGTTTACCCCGGATCACCGTGTCGCCGTCGCCGTCTCCGTTAAACGAAACGCACGCGCGCGTTGTAAACGCCGCTCCGTGAATATCGACTACGCTTTTCCAAAAAAAGGAACGGAGAATCCGGCAAACGTAACTAATTCGCGATTATTTAACCGGAGTATCGGCCGCTTCGCTCGAAAAAGCTCCCGCAAAAGCAAAATGATGAAAAACTCGCCTCTTGGCAATTAACGAAAAAGATGGGATAAATTTTGGGGGAAAATCCGAGAAAATCGAGTGCCCCCGAGATAAGTCACAGCCCGGCCGGGTTGAATTTCAGGGTTTTACGAGGGGATTAAACGGACGAAGACAGCGGAAGAAATAAGATCGGACTCACCGATACAGCATCCTCTCCTGGCGATCCGCTTCCCTGTAGATCTTGTAGTACATGGCGATCATGATGATGCCGGGCACCCAGAAGCTGATGCTGGAGCTGACGACGGCGTACAGCTTGTTCACGTGAAACATGCAGACGTCGGGATACCTCTTCCTGAACTCGAGGTGCTCGGGGGTGGTGTACCACCCCGCGAATATGGGGAGGAAGCTCATGACGGTGGGCGAGCACCATACGACGCTCAGCATGGTGCCGAGCCTGAGGTTCGTCATGATCAGCGGATAATCCAGAGGCTGGACGATGGCGTAGTACCGGTCGACGCTGATGCAACAGAGGTGCAGGATCGACACGGTGCTGAAGAAGACGTCGAGGGAGTTCCACACGTCGCACATGAAGTAGCCGAAGAGCCACCTGCCGGAGAGCTCCACCGAGGCGTTGAACGTCATCGCGAAGATGGCGACGAGCATGTCGGCCAGGGCGAGCGAGACGACGAAGTAATTGGTGATGACGCGTAGCTTCCGGTGGCGCATCACCGAGACGATCACGAGGAGATTGCCGAAGAGGGCGCTGAGGATGATGAAGCCCATGACGAAGGCCTTCGCGACCAGCAGGACCCCGTGCTCGAGGTCGCCCTGAGAGGCGCCCGAAGCGGTGTCGTTCCTCTGGCCGGTGTCCGGAACGACGTCGAGTCGGGTCCCGTTGCCGAGGACGTCCGAGGTGTCGTTGGCCATCTTCGTCGGAACGGGTCCAGCGGACGTTAACGAACTTCCGGTGCACTTCGAGACCCGCGATCCTCCGAGCTGCACCCCGAAGACTTTCCCCATCCCTTCGGGAGGGCCATCCCCGCTGTCGAGGGCTCCGTCGTCACGGAGGGATTCGCTCCCCCCGGTCGAGCATCCGCGTTATCTCGTTTCCAGGGCGGTTTCCTCTATCGGGCGTTCGGTCGAGACGGAGCCACCCGGATTCCTCGGCCTTTGGGGTTCCTCCCGAGAGAGAAGGGTAGGTTTACGAGGACTCGCGGGCCGGGGTTCCCGAGGGCTGGTTTCCTCCAGGACGCGGGATCGATCCTCGCTCCCGGGGTGCCGCCTGCGTTCCCGCGGGGTCGGCGCATCTTCGTGGGGAGCGGCCGGTGGTCCGGGCAACGCCTCCCCGGGGACGCTCCGCTGCGAGCCGGAGGGCCTTCCCCGACTCCTGGAAATGGGTTATCGACGTTCAAAGACCTTCCATTTTCGGTCCCTTCCCGCCCTGCGATTCTCTGCAACGAATACTCTCCCTTTCCCCCGGCGTTCCTAACCCATACGCGCACGTTACGCGTTATACACGTACACGTATACCAACATAAAGGCGCCGACAATTTCCATTAATTCAAACACCCCCCGAATAATGGCCTCTGACCTTTTTCTCGGCCTTGGTTCCTTCCAAATCAATCCCCGTAATCAAAACCCAAATCAAACCCCCCAATGAAACGAAATGAGACGCGTAGGCGCGTTCCGCGACCCTCGATCGGGGACTCGTACATCCCGCGACTCTCGGCCCTTGAGGAGAATCCATTTTTCCGGAGCGGAGCGAAACTCGCGACGAGCCCAAAGGAATCGTCGTGCCGTGTGTCAGGGGATGATTAAAAAACGCTCCAGTGGAGTGGCGGGAAAGGGTCCACTTCGGAGAGGTCCGCGTCCGCGGGCGGAATGGCGAAAAATGCGCGAAGGCGTTTCCGCCGATTCCCGGGGGCGGGTGGAAAAAAAGAGGGATTCGCTCGGCCGAAAAGACAGGCCGAGTCCGGCGGCCGGAGGGGTGCGGAATCGATCCTGGTTTATTGGAAAACGCGAAACCGCAACGTGACGGGCGATAAGCGCGACGCGACGAGTCGCACGCGGAATGGATATCGGCCGCGCATAATGCGAACCGCCTGACCCGAGCGGCTATCGCGGACCGGCAGAATCCGCGAAAATCCGGAGAAATCGGCCACGGCCGCTCGGCAGCGGCACCCCCGCAACCGACGATGCGCGAGAAATGGAAAAGAACGCGGCGTCTCCTCGGAGCTGGAAGGAATCGAAATTGAAAGTCCCTATCTGCGGATTTCCGCGCAACCGCGAGGTAGACGCGTGGAAAAATCGCGGAATTCACCAACAGGATTTTTTCCGAAATCTTTCGTACTTTCCCCGGGCCATAGCGCGAACCGCGGATTGCCCCGGGATCCGCGGCCGAGACCTCGCGGAATCCGATCCGCCCCGATTCGTCCGTTTCCCCTTCTCTTCGCGCCGCAAAAAGAGACCCGGCGCGACTCTGCCTCTTTTACTTCTCTCTCGGATTTTTTCCGCTCCCCCTAAGAGGATCCATTACGCGGGTGCGAATGCGCAAAATCGCGGCGGAGCGGAGAGAGCGAGAGAATTCCGCCGCGGTTTCGCCGTCTCAAAGGGAGCGCCTCCTCTTCCCCTCTGGGGCCGCGTCCGCCGAAAAGACTGCTGCTCGGCATCAAAGATGCACTGGAGCCCCCTTTGCGAGCGCCCGGGTGCCCGCTAATGCATATCGCGGGCACTCCCGGCGCATCCGGTGCATCCGCCGCCGCGAGATGCCGGCGGGAAGGGACGCATCGCGGCCCGGTGATGCGCTTTCCGTAAAACGGTGCCAAAGCGGCCCCGAAACTGCCCCTAAAACGCGGCTCTCGCGGATAGACACCGAGAAGAGCTCTCGAATCCGCGAGTCGGGAGGTCGATCGCCGATACCCCAGAAATTATTGATACGCCGAATGGCGCTGGTTTTAATGACGCTCGGCTTTCCGTGTCCCGCTCGTCGATACGTGTCCCCCCCCCCCCCCCCCGTTAAACGGCTGAAAGCCCGGACACGGTGGAAAAATCAGGCGGAAAATGCCGGCGCTTTCCCGGGGTATTACGGCCTCGCGGAGCGTAATCGAGCGATGCCTATCAGGGGGGAATTATAGGTAATCAAACGCTACCAGGGCAAAGAGGGGAGCGGATCGCTCCTTTCGACGTCTAGCCTCGCATTCCCGTCGCGTCGCCGGGTCGCGTCGCCGTTCGCGACGCGGCGCGAGAAAAGTCGAGACGAATGGATTTCGCCCCTCGATTCCGACGACTCTCCGGCGACTCCGATAGTTTTTATCATTCCCAGAATTCCGATAATTAGACGCAACGTCGAGGGTCCGCAGTCGAAGGGAGACGTCCGCGGGATCCAGGGGAAATTGGGATCGTCTTGTTTCTTCGCGTTGTCTCTTCGATTTCCAATAGCGTAACGAGCCGAGAAAGAGACAGAAACAACGGAAGAGAACGGAATGGAGGGAGGGAGAATACATGTCGCGTCGCCGTGCAGGGAAGAGCTGTCCGTTCTCTCCGAAAATAGGAGGAGGAGGGAAATCGCGAAAGCTCTCAAATGAAGAGCCTTTAAAAGCTTGCCCCCTTAACGAGGGTCGCGATAAGGGCAGCATGGGCAATCGGCTGGAAATGGGTTTCCGGGATGATCGCTACGAGACGAAAGGTTTGCGGTCTTCATCTCGCGGAAATTTTCCGAATGTCGATCCTGCATCCGGATTCCTCGCATACTCGGAACGGGAGGACGCGTGCGGGGTGAACGCGTGGTCGATTCCGTCCCTCCCGAAGGATTTTTCCAGTCGCGAGATCGTAAAAATCCCCCAGATATCGTTATCAATTGTTAAAAATAATTCTCACGTTCCCAAGCGCTTTTTTTTTTAAATCGTAAGTGGCGATCCGCCCGCGCGAGCGTCGCCTCGTCTCGGCAACGTCCATCTCGCCCTCCCCGGTTTCGACTATTTTTACGAGTTTCCCTATTTTTACCATCGCCGACACCTGCCACCCGTGCATCAACGGTTTTATAGCCGCCACTTTGTCCCCGGTCGACCGCGACATTGATATTCTCTATTCGCTCTTACGGATCTCCCTCTCCCCGCAGCATCCCACCGCGACGAAATAGCGCCGGATGCAAATTCGCGGTAAACCCGTCGAGCGGGACGTTCGATCGCAAAACCAGCCAGACCGGTGATCTTAAACCGATCCGTGGATATTCCGCAGGAGTCCAAAAAGAAATATGTATAAAAAATATAAAAGATGGAAAACTGTCAAGGAGAAGTCCACGACTCGCGGCGATTAAATCGGAGCGATTGACGTAAAGCCTGACGTTTCGATTTTTCTTCCCCAACGGAGAATCACTACCGGAAGGTCTCGACCGGAAATAGAACGGGTTCCTTCCTCGGGTTGTTTCCATTGGGAAAGTCTCTCGTGGAATATTAATAATCCTCGGGGACGAAACACAGTCGAGCGGTTAATTTTATTCGACTTTGAGCGAGTTCCATCGGTCTCGGGGAATTATTCTTAGGCTCCGCCTAAGCCTAGGACGAACGTAAAGACCGGGGGTTGTACTTACGAGGGTCGTCGCTTTATCGGCCGCTTTTCACATCCCCTTAACGTTGCAGGCCGATCGATCGCCCCGTTCCCATTTGTTCCCGATTCGATTACTCCTGGAAGGGGCACTCGATTCTTCCCTTGAACTTGCACCAACTGGGTTTACGTTATCGCGGTCAGCGCGCGGATTCGCCTCTTCGCATCGTTCCAAAAACCTTGGTCATGAATATTTACATATTCTCGTATAACTCGGTCGAGTCGTCGGGCACGAGCCGAAAGCCGCACTTCCGCCACTGTTTACCGCGATTACGATCCAAATGCGGATCGGTCCCTCGACGGGTCTCTCGAGTCGTTGGCGATCCGAATCGCCAGCGCGAGAGGATCGTCGCCACTCCCACGAACTCCGAGGTCAGAACGCGGTACCGGCCGACATCCGAAATCGCCACACCGCGCGGAACTCCATCGTCGGTTTTTGCGGTTAAACGTCCGCGGACCGCCGGGATAACGAGGCCCACGTGGTCTCGGCCACCGTCACTCCCGGTCGAATTCCAGGAACGAGCCTCCGGAGAGGGAGAGGGTCGGAGTCGAGGCCGTTCCTCCCGCTGCGTCGAGGGATGCTCTTCCACCGCTGCTTCCACCGACGCTGCCCCGAGAAACGAGCGATTTTGCAGGTGCGCGCGGTGTCTCTCGCCCGGCTGACGGGGCCGAAGTGAGCCGCGGTGGGAGCGACGGAGCTTTCCCGCTTTCCCGCTTTCCCGCTTTCCCGCTTTCCGCCGAACCCCTGCGACCCGACCGCCCACCGCGGGCGCTCACCCGTTGCGCGGCCCGCCCCGCACTTCGTCTCTACAACCCTTTCTTTTCCATTTTCCTCCTCTTCGCCCCCCGCGGAGTGCGTTCGATTGCCAAAAAATTGGAAACTTTCGGAGTTTCGGCTTTGAGGTTGGCTCGAAGACGCCTCCGATCCCCGCGAAATTTTTAATTACCGAAACCCGGGCTCCTCTCGGGCGTTCCTTTTTCCCGGAAGTTCATTGGCTCCGCGTGCCGCGGAAAGGTAGGAGGACTCCGTGGCGGAGAGAAAGAGAAGCAGAGACGCGATAACTTGTTATTAGCATTTTGCATTATGCAGCCCCTCGAAACGTTCGGTACAGCTAAATAAGCGGAATCCTTGGGGAATAATTTATTCCCTTCGGGGTGCACTTCCTTCGGCCGAGAGATCGGCGGCGCGTTTCCCGCGACTCTAGTTTATGCAAAATGCTGGCAATTATTTCAACCGCGACATGTCCTCCTGCCGAAATCGGGAGATCGAGGATCCGCTCCTGTATGATTAATTGAGGGAGTAAAAAATCCCGATCGATTCAAATAATTTTTCGATTTTATAGCGAATACTTCTCGTCGCCAGTTCTTCTTTTTTCCTCGAGACGCGCGTTATCCCTCGTGTCTATTTCCGGAATATCGTTCCTCGGGGACGTCCCGCTCGGCGTCGCTCCTCTTGTAATTTCGCCCGGGCCTTCTTCTCGCGTATTAGTTTCGCCGGTAAATCCGGGCTGCGTATACTTTTCGCGGGGATAAAGCTTAATCCAGGAGATTTACCGCCTGCCCACTTCCTCGCGGCCGGCGAAAGGCCGAGCTTACGACAATGAACTGCTTCTTCATCCCCTAAGTCACCCCCCGGGCACGTGTCGATGCGCCCGCGATGATAAAACTCCCGACACCGCAGTCACGAAAAAAAGAAGAAATAAAAGGTCCCACGATCGGAAAAAATAGCCACCCTCCGGGGCACTCTTCCTTTTCAGGATCGCGTCGCGAATGGCGTTTGCGGTTAAAATATTCATAAAATTCGAAAATCATCCCAACCAACCTTAGGGATGGTTTGCATTTTTTTCTCTCCATCTTTCCCACGGAGAGTCCCGTTACGAGGGGAAATTTCGTCTCGTCCCCCTACGGCGGTCCCGCCCCCGGCCGAGAACGACGCGTCCTTAGGGATGTAGTCTTCGGTCCCGACGACCAGGGAATCCCGGAGTTTCGCTCGAGGACGCATCCTGTCGACGACACGGGAGAGCCGGTCCCTTTTCCTCTCCCGGCGAAATCATGGGGGGTTGTTATTTCCCCCTGTCCACCCTCGCCCTCGAGGATCCGGGGGCACGTATAGCGTAGGTAAGCACTATGCGAGGAGATGGACCGAAAGACTCGGGGAGCGGGTCGAGCTAGCGATATCTGGAGGAAAACGGGAAAACCCCCCTCGGAGAGGGTAGAAAAAGTGCACTCGACGCCCTACCCCGGATTATCCCGAGATTTTCGGTCACCTCGTTTAACCTCTCCATGATTCTCCATCCATTCGTCCACGACCCCCAAAATCCGGAGAAGGGAAACGGGAAGGAATAAGAGACACGGGATATATCGACTCGTGCCGAAGGTGCATCCTTGATTTCGGGGCCCCCGAGGTGGCCGCGCCGCTTTATGGGGCAATTCGGTCCCACGTTTACGAGGGCGCATCGGGTCGGGGTGCAGTCGATAAAATCCGCGATCCCGCTCGTAAGTGCATCTGCACATAATTCAATTTACATGGCGTCGCTCCATTCGGGCTGGATTCCAGGAGCCCCGATATTTTTCATATTTGCGGGAGCGCGATTTAATCGATCATCGCTATAAATCACCGGGATAATAAACGCGACTCCCCGCGAAAAGTTAAGCTCGAAGGAGCGCGTCCTGGGACGTGCCGAAAATCGAGGGAAATGACGATATATGGACGGTCGATGGATTTTAATTCGACTCCGACCCCGACCCGAACTCGAAGAGGAACTGGGAGGAATCCGGGGAAATCGGCCCTTCGAGTGGACCGAGGATGGAGGACGGGTGGAGGGCGGGGTGCCATCTCACTTTCGGCTTTATATCGCCGTAAAACGCGGCTGCTCGGCTCGGATATATGCGCCCCGGGCTCCTAATGCGAGGGGAATTCGATTTCGCGGTATCCCCCTGTTCGCGATCGGCGATCGACGTTAAAGGGCGTCGGGTGGAAAATTCATTTCCGGGAGCGGAGGAGAGCCTGTTTTCCTCGGAACGTGCCTCGAGAAATTCCGAGCCCCGGCCTCGCGCGTCTATATCGTGGGTTAGGCTTACCATCGCGTAAACGCTTCGTTCTCCGGCTCGGCGGGGATCGAGGAACGTGGCGACGTCCTCCGAGTCCTCCGGAGATGGGGTTTTCCTTCCTCGGACTGAGATTTTCACTCCGACTCCGACCCGACTGAGACCGACGGACTTTGTTCTCCGGTGGGTCGCCCGCAATGTGAACATTCTTTCGTCCCTGGTATATGTTACGCATCCGTAAGGTCCATTGTTTCGTTTTGTTTAGTCCAACGTCCGTTATAAATCTAAGCGATGGTGCTACGTAAAGCATAACGTTACTTAACGTTAACTAGCTAATTGACGTTATCGGTTAGTCGTCAATCGCATATTTATTCATTTAGAATCCATCCTTAACTACGGTAGTCGAGATACATTTTTCCGCGAGAGGGTCCGATGCCTCTGGACGAAGAAACGTCCGATTATGTACATACAAGGTATATCGTCGTCAACTCGTGGCATTTCCTCCACCCGTCATGACTTCTTTCAGCCAGTGCAGGAACGTCTTCAGCATTTCCGTCCTGTGGTTGCCGCGCTGGTATCTGTAGTGGCCCTCTTCGTTCTGCCTCTTCTTGATGAACTTGATTCTCTTCAGAATCGGATTATTCACCTGGTATCCGTATTTGTCGATGTCCTCGTCGTCTTCTCCAGCTCCTTCTTCCGGTATTTTGCCTCTATTCCAGCTCCCAATTTTCCTCTTGTGGCCGTCCATCAGGGTGTACACGTCGGTCGGCTCCGATTCCATCAGTTCGTCTAAAGCGTCCAGGACCACCTCTACTTTTTTATTTCCTGGAACCTCGTTGATCGAAATCAATTTTCTAATCGGATCCAAATTTTCTGATTTCCGGCTCGATTCGTTCCCTTTCGTAGCGCTCCAATTTTTCCCTGATTTCTCCTCGTTTCTTATTTCGAGTGGCTTGTCGTGCTCTCGCAGCGAATTCCTAGAGTGCTTTTGGACTTTGTCGTTGCTTTCAAAATTGATCCGCACGTCGTCCTGGGATCCCTCGCTCTCGGAAGAAGGTCTCGAAAAATCCTCGCCAAGGTTTAAGGACAAGTTGTATTTTTTCGCGAAACCCTCGATAGACATGCCGGAGAGTTTCGGGGGCGGCGACCGCTTCTTCGATTTTTTGAACAATTGCAGATAATTCTTTTTTTCGTAAATCGGTCGAGTGGTAGACCTCGAGGTTCGTTTTTTGGGCCGGGTGCTGTCGCTTTCCTGGATTTCTCTGGATTCCTTATCCCCGCTTCCCCGTTCTTCGGATTTTCGTGATTTTGAGAAATTTTCCCCGCTCGAGAAGCTTTCTTCGCTCAACTGACGGCGTCTCTTTTCTTGTACGATGTTTCCGTTTTTCGGAACGCAACAGGGACACTTTTCGTTGATAATCCGATCGCAAAACCGAGCCGAGAGCGACAGAGCAAACGATCCATCTTTTAGCTTTGTAATTACCAATGGCAGCCTTACCCCATCTCCGATATAATAGAGATCCGTATTTTCGAAATCCGAGATTTCGTCGGCAACGAGATCTCGATTTTGAGGCGCGATTCTGCCCAGGAAGGGAAGATGCTCGAACCGAGGAGTTTGAATTAATTCTGACAAAACCGAATCGTCGTTGGATACTTTATATCCACTTCCAAAAGAATTCAGGACCTTCGATTTTGACTTGACATTTCCCAGTTTCTTGTCTGTCGCTGACTCCAAGTTCTCATTATTATCGGACCGAGGATAAAATTCTTCCGCATTTCCAATTTCCATTGTAATTTCATCCGGTCGAGGCGTGATCAGTTGATTGAAATTTTTTTCGAATAATTCTTCATCTGGTTGCACCGCTTCTTTAACCGTTGAAACCTCGAAATGGATGGCCGACTCCTCGGGAGTTTCTTCAACGCGTTCGAAGTTTCTCTCGAGGGACTTTAAATTTTCGACTCTGTTTCGAATTTGCGATAACAATTCCTCTTCGTAATTACCTTCTTCTACGGATTCTCTAATTTGAGGTTGCGAAAGAATTTCGTCAACCTTCGAATCATCATAACTTGCTGAATCTTCGGATACGACCTCGTATACAGGTGCTTTTTTCACCTCGTCAACGTTTTTGGTAAACTCCAATTTTTTCTCTACTCCAGATTTCGGTGATAATAGAAGATCCTCTTCCATCGGCGGAGCTGATAATGACTGCTCTTTGATTACGTATTCCTTGCGGGTTCCCATAACGTAATCATTTTCATTATTATCAACATCTTCGGTTGACTCCCCGAGAAGCATGTAATCTTCCGGTCGTGGACTTTTCAAGATTTCCTTGTAAGGAATTATATGCGGCCTGGAAGCACTCGGAAAGCGTTCTTTGGAAGTTTTCTCTAAAGTCAAAGTCAACTTTTCAACAGTTTCCGAACTAACATCCGGCAATTTCGTATCAAAATCATCGGAGTTTCCTTGCACGCTTTTAAGAAATTTTTGCAATTCCGCGTCCTGTAGTTTATTCTTCCACTTTTCTGTCATTTTATTTCCAAATTTGTTAGTACCTAATGTCAAGGCGGAATTTTCAGGCAATCCTCCTAGCAAGGTTTTTTGCGACATCCATTCTCCCGACCTAAATTGATGCTCTTCGATCGGGACAATCGGCATCAACTTGTACCCCGTTCTCCAAGGACTCTGCAAAACCTGCGAGGGAGGAGTAACTCGCAAAATAGGAAATTTTCGCAGACATTCCTTAAGAGTTGTTTCCGACAGGAGAGGAGACTCGATGACGGTTTCTTCGCTGGCGAATAGCAATTTTGATCCCAAGTCATCCATGCCCTCCAACCTCTTCAGGGTCTGGCTAATTCCGCTTTCCTTAGTTTTTCCTAATTTTTCCCTCTTCAGCGCAGCTTCCTGCAGTTTCTTCTTCCACTCCTCCTCTTCCTCGTTCTTCGACCTCCCCAGAACCTTTCCAGGGACTCCCAACGTATATTTACTGAGTGATTCGGAAGATTTGATTTGCCCTTCCCGAAGAGGAACAATAGGCACGACTCGCTGGTCCATTTTCTTCGAATTTTTCCAGACCTCCGCTGAAGAAGCAACTTGCAGTATCGGGAACTTTCTCAGACATTCGTGGAAAGCGTCTTGAAGGACGCGAGGCGATTGCAAGGGATTTTCACTCGAGACCATCAGTTTGGATCCATTGTCATCGACATTTTCCTTAATCGTCATCTGCATTTGGTCGCTCTTGCTGAATCCCGTTTTCTCCTGCTCGAGGCGCTGCTTCTTCAGGGTCGAGAAGTAAGTTTCCTTCTTCCAGTCCCTGTCCTCATTCCTGGACGGAAGCGTCACTTCCGACTTAGGAAGGGCCTTTCCAGGTTTCTTCCCCAGCAAGGTGTGTTTTGCGATCCACTCTTCAGATTTGAACTGGTGTTTCTCTTCGGGAATTACTGGCACGGCATGAAATCCTGTCACTTTCGGCTTCTTTGGCAGGATCCTCGGAAGCTCCATCAATTTATCCGGCTGATCATCGATTGCACTTCCGATGATCTCCCGAATCAAGGAGTCGTCTACAGGCTCGTCTTCGGGAATGTTGTAGTCCTGTAAGGTGGTCTTCAGGGTCTCCAGGACGACGTTCTCGATGATTGGATATTCCAGGGGGTTTTCGCTGGATCTGGATTGCCCGAGGATGTTCCACATCCCAGAATCCACGATTATGTTCCTCAACAACTGAGGAATTGTTCGCGGTTTGGGGTAGGTCCGAGGAGGAGGTAAAGTGATCTCTTCGACAACCCATTGTCCATCTCTAAGCTGATGCTCCTCAACCTTGATCGGCCCATTATCGGACTCACCTTTGATAAGGTCAAGGACGTTTTTTATTCCTGACCTGATAACACCGTCCGATAGTCTCTCGATGAAACCCTGACCAGAGTATCCTCTTATCAAAGACAGGACACTTCTTACAGAATCTACCAGCATGTTCTCCACTATCGGAAGAGCGAAGAGGTTCCTCAAGATAGGAAGGTGAAGGATATCTGGAAGAAGGTTTAGGATCCCAGCTCCTACCACCTCTTCGGATCCTGCGACTCGATTTTTCCCGATCTCTTTCTTAACATTCTCCGGCACGAATTCATTGAAAATGATCTTCAGGGCAGCTTCCAAGAGTCGTTGCTCTTCTTGCTCTTCCTTGGATGTGATTTTGGCTTGTTTCTTCATACCTTCACCGATCGAGGCAGCCTCCACTTCGGGTTCTTCTTCGAGGTCTATTTGAACGGGCTCCTTTGTTCCTTTGATTTTTGATGCCTGAAGTCGGATTTCATGACTCGGTGAACCCACCTTTAAAACCATTTTTCTGTGGTCAGCAGGAATTACGATATCAGGTTTTTGTGGAAGTCCATGAATCGTTTTATAAGCTTTCGCGGATTGTTTAGCTGAACTTAATTCAGCGGATTTTTTGTTAAATGCCTCGATCGCTTCGATCATTTCCATCAACTGCTTCTGATCAATAGTTCCCGTTTGAGCAGATTTTTGTCCTATCACAGATATCGTGCTTATAATCTTTAAAAACTGATCCAGATCGATTGTGTCCGTTTGAACGGGTTGCTTAATAATTTTTCCAATTTTCTGAATGATGTTCACAAGTTGTTCTCGATCAGCAGAGCTCTCTTCAATAGATTGTGGATTGATCTCTTCGATCATTTTCATCAGATAGAGCAAATGCTGCCGATCGATAGAATCAGGCTGAACAGGTTGCTTAGCGATTTGAACAATTGTTGGAGCTTCTGTTATTGTCTGCTCTTGATTAATCACACTTACAATCGGAGGCTTTTTCTCAGTTTTATGAATTATTGGAGGGGTTTTGTCAGTTACTACATGGGTTTCCACGATTTTCTGCCCCGGAGAACTTAATAGAATAGATTTCTTGTTCAATGCATCAATTGCTTCGATAATTTTCAACAATTGTTTCTGATCAAAGGAGCCACTTCGAGCCGATTTCTTCCCAATTGCACTAACCGTCTTTATAAATTTTAAAAGTTCATCGAGATCGATTGAATTCGCGTCAATAGGTTTCTTAACAATTGTACCAATGTCCTGAACAATGTTTACGAGCTCTTCTTGATCAACGGAACCTTCCTTAACCGATTTCGGATTGACTCCTTCAATTGACTTTATCAAATTTAATAATTGTCGCTGTGTAATAAAATCAATTTTAATCGGTTGTTTAGCGACTTCAATAATTGTTTCAGGGCTTTCCAAAACAGTTTCTTTGGGACCAACGGGTTTTAAAATTTTCGATTGCTTCGGAAGTTCAAGAATTATTTGTGACTCTTTCGTAGGTAGTTCTTTTTCAATTAAAGTTAATTCTGCAGATTTTTTGTTTAACGCGTCAATCGCTTCGATAATTTTCAACAGTTGCTTGTGATCGATAATTCCAGTTTGAGCAGATTCTTTTCCGATCGCACTGATCGTCTTTACACTTTTTAAGAGTTCATCAAGATCGACATTGTCCGAGTTAACAGGTCTCTTGACAATGTCGCCAATTTCCTGAACAATATTTACAAGTAGCTGTTGATCAGCAGAGTCCACTTCAACAGATTGTGGATTGACTTCCTCAAATATTTTTATGAAATTTAGTAATCGCTGTTGATTAACGGAATTAGATTGAATGGGTTGCTTGACGATTTCAACCATTTTTTCTACAACGGGAGGTTTCTCCTCAGGCTTGGGAATTTTAGAGATTTTCAAAACATGGTCCTGAGGATTAACTTCAAGTTTCTTTTCCACTTCGTCATCCGAGTGAGTGCTATCCACCATTTTCTGTTTCAGGATAATTGAATCAACCTGATTAGTTTTCTTGGCTATGTGATCAAGTAATTTAATAATCTCCAAGATTTGGCTCTGATCAATGATGCCAGTGTCAATTGACTTTTTCCCGATTTCGTCAATAATTTTAATAATATCTAAGGTCTGCTCCTGGTTTATCGAATCGGTAAGAATGGGCTTCTGAACGATTTCACTGATTCTCCGAATAATTCCCAGAAGCTGATCTTGGTCAATGGGGCCCATTTCCTCATTGATCTCATCGATTGTTTCAAAAATATCTAAAAGTTCTTGCTTATCCTTAGAATCTATTTCAAAGGGTTCCTGGTCGATCGTGACATGTTTAGGAGTTCCCAAAATGATTTTTTTGCGATCAACAGAAGTAACGATATCAGATTTCTTTAGTTCATCGGCAATCGCAAGAGGTATTTCCTTTCTCGAGTACGAGTCTTTGTCTTCAGGTTGAACAGGTTGTGTTTTAGCCAGGAAAGTTGATTTTTCGGTTGGATAATCACTAAAGTCATACGTTTCGGGTACAAACGAAGGACCCGTTTGCGCAATCATTTCGTCAGGTAGGAGTTCGTCTTTTATCACAGAGATCTGAGTTACGCTGGTGTTTTTTAGGATTTCTTCTTCTGGACGATTCGCGTCCTCTTCCGATGATCGATCTCCGACAACATGTTCAAGATCATCGTGCGTCAGGGTGGTTTCTTCTTCCGTTTCTTCGGACAGGTATTCAGGCATAGAAAGAGAACCGGAAACGTCTAATAATGGTACCTTGTAATGTTCTTTAGAAATCCCAGCGGAATACTGCACTTCCGGTGTTTGAGTTACCGACACTTGCGATTTAAATAATTCATCACTTTTCATTAAAGTTTCGGGATGTTCAGCAACCACATGGAGCACCTTTTCAGGTTGCTTTTCGCTAACTAAAGCGACCCTTCCAGGACCCAAGTCCGATACATCTTCGGCAACCGCCAAAGTCTTGGCTTGAGATTCCTCTTCAATTTCCGATTTTAGATCGTGTAGATTCAACGTATCAGGGCTGTCGTAAACTTCGCCTGAATTTTCAACGTCATTTTCTGCGTATTCTGAACCGAAGGTGTAATGTTTCCCTTCGGGAATTGCAGGTTTATTCAACGGAACATTTTTGGTCTCGATTCTGTCCCCGATTTTTGGAAAGCTCGATTTTACTTTCGAATCGACCGATTCATCTTCAGCACTCGGGACATAAGACGCTTCTGCAACAATATCTTCATCTTTCGGGATACCTTCGTTGACTAAAGATTCGTTTTCAGTTGCTTCCAAAATTGGTTTACTTGGCTTTGATGGAACTGCTAATAATCTCGGGTTTTCGGGTAAAGTTTGTTTTTCCTTTGCGATGGCCTTCAGCTTATGCGAAATTTCGTCTGAAATGCCATCATCTACATCTGTCGCACCTTGATGAGTTTTCGGTTGTTGCCGAAGCAGAAGAGGTTTTTTCCGTTGAATCGCAGTCTTCGTCGAGTCTTCCACCGCTTGTACAATCTTCCGTTTTCCTTCTACTAAATCTTCAATGACATCTCGATCTTCAGGAACTAATTCTATTTCGGCCTCATCGAAGCCTTGAGGCCGCTCTTCGCCGGGTACCACTTCTTCGACAACTTCACCGGAAGATTCACCGTCATACAATGAAGACTCATAACTTGGGAAACCTTTCTCAGCCGATAATATATCTCCTTGGACGTGACCAAAATCATTAAACCGTCCTTCGTTGGTATCGGAACGGTCGTCCGTCTTTAGCTTCCTCGAGGCATCAAAGACCGAGGACAACGTCGAATCTCTTCCTGTTCCCGTGTTTTCGTTTCCGGGTTTGGCCGTTGGACGAGTTTTATTAGTAAATACCTTCTGCGAGGTGGGAGGCAAGTACAGATATTCCTCGGAAGGCAATTCTTTCGTAGATGCCGATCGATCTTCGTGAACGTCGAAGTAATCCTCTGGAGGATGCGCATCGACTTCTTCTTGGTCGTCGTAATCCTGGTCTGCACGAAGCACATCTTCGGGCTTGTTTTCATGGTCTTCGTGGTACTTGGGTAAAATCGTGGGATTCCCGTAACCTAATTGTTGTCCATAATTTGCAGGGTAATGTCCCCGATGCGCGCCCGGTGGGATCGGAATATGTCCGCGAAAATTGTAATAAGGCGGGGGGAACTGGCCGTAATCATACGCTCCATACACACGATCCCCAACAATAGGGTAATTATTGTATTTAACGTTATACGAAGTCAATCCAGGCAGGTAGTACTCGGTACTTACATCCGCGGATTCTTCGTCATCACTCGAATCATCCAAACTACCAGCAGGCAGTACCAAACCTTGACCACCGTGACCAAACTTGGGTTTCGAAAGCGAAGATGCCACGACGTCCGCTTTCAATTTATCATCCAATTTCGGTGACGAAGTTATGCCCAGGTAATAAGTTGGAGAAATGTCATCCACCTCCTCGTAATCTATCGGAGCCTTTAGGTGATCGACTAATTTCTCCTCTTTTCCTTCGTCTCGTTCACTAGCCGGAGGTTCTTCCAGGGGAATCGAGGCAGACTCGTCTTCTCGATATCCTGGAATCTCCTCGATATCCTGCGACGAAGTATCCTCGCCATCGGCGGAACTTTGCTCGATAAAGGCATTTTTGGTAGGGTGTTCGACAATGGTCATGGGGTTCTTTGATAACGCGACCCCCTTATCGTCGGGTGAATGTGGCAACACCTTTTTTGAAGTGTCGTGGACCTGGGTCCGATCTTGGTCCGATGACATTTTAGAAGGTAGATCGTGGTCTCCATAATCGAAACGACTCGATTTTTGCAACTCTTCCTCTAGAGGAGGGCATTTGTAGTTAAGATCCACCGTTAGAGGACTCCGAAGCTGTTCGTTTTGCAGACCTCGCATGGGAACGTACGACTGGGTTTGGTATGCACCTTGCGGAGAGAACTGCGGACCGGATGTTCCCGAAGAAATCAAGGGAAGTCGCATTTTCGTGGGCGTGCCATCGTACGGATTAAAAAACACATTTTGAGGAACATTACCATAATCGTTCCGCGGAGCACCGTCGAAGGGGACTTGGCCTACTAAAACTTGAGTCGGCATTCCTGATACAATTTGCTGGCCCAAGTTAATCACGTCATTTGCGTCATGCGGAATTCCTATCGCTTCGTCATTGTCGCTCATTCCCAAAATGTTGAAATTGCCCTCCGAGTCTGGAAGAACCTTTCTCAAGGCACACCTCGTAGCCAACTCTGGATCATTTTCGCAGTCCTCCTCGTGACAGTAACAAACGTAGTTTCTTTTTTTATAAGCCTTCATCCTCTCCATCTCTTTGCCCACCAGCGATATAAATTCCTTGGGCTTCAAATTGGAGCCCGATATCGTTTTTAGGATCTTCTTCCGCTTCGTCCTCGGGTTCCTGATGGTGGCCAGCCGAACGAACCTCTGCACTTCGCCGGAATGATTTTTCGAGGTGGTTTCTTCGGTATCTTCGGCATCTTCGGCTCTGACCAACCTGATTTCTGGATCCCGATGGTCGTCTATTTTCCTCCTTCCTTCGTTCGTCATTGCCACGCGTGGAGTTTTCTCTTCCTCGAATAGACGCGGGATTTGGGCATCCGCGTTGTCCAAAATGTTTCGGGTCTCTTCGGGTTCCCAGGATAATTTCACTTTACGAGTCGGTGTTTCGGACTTGCCGCGTTTATTCTTGCGGTGCACCTCCACGATCTCTCCTTCTTCTTTCTCGTTTTGGGCAACGGGTACGAGGAGGACCATTGACCTCTTCCCTCTGCTTGCGGATTCATTTTCTCCGCTCGCAAAATCCAACAAATTTTCCGAGTCCGGGAGCCTGTGTAAGAATTTAAAACGTCTATAATTGATTTTCAATAGAAGGAAAAAAGAAAAAACGATACTTTTACAAATCGCCAGCAAAGTGGATGGCACTTTTATATTCAATTCGAAAATGTCCATAAGTACTATAATTTAATAATTAATATCGAAGTTGGTAAGTTCTTTTGTATTTGGCAGGAATAAGGTTTCCTGGAAACTATTGCCATGTGCTCGTAACTCTTTTCAAGAGATAGGATTGCCAAAACGCTTCTTTGAATGTATCGAAACAATGAGCACACTTCGATTCCGCCTTATCGATTGTTATTGCAACCCCAAAATTATTCGACGAACGGGAGACGATCAGCTTAAGCGACACTTTTTACGGGAATTCTTATGAAGTGACTGCGATATATGGTTAAAAAAAAATGAAAGGATGGCATAATTTCCCAATTACGCGACATCGACATTAGAGAGCATAATTTTACTAAAACTAATTGCATCAAATTCTCCGAATCTTTTAAGATGGTATTTCGAATTTGCATTCTTTTTTAATCGGTATCTGAAATATGCAAATTTTCGGTGTTTTTCTTTTAGTCGAACAATCGGTCAGTAAGTAACGTTGGGGTTGCTGACATCGATACTTCGTGACATACTTATTGCCTTATGAGTAACATATTTAAAACGAAGACAAAGGAACGCAAAGAACTCGATGATGAATTCTCTCTGGAATTTGGCGCAGTATTTCTTATCGCAACTATAATTTCATTAATTTTTCCTTTTCTTCGAGAATTAATTTGCATGAAATAGTTAATGAATTTCCGACTTACCCAGAAGGCCGATCGACCGAGAACCGAATATCAGGACCAGGGTCAAGATTCTCGGAATAACTCGGCACAAAAAGCGCGTACAGAATAAAAATAATTCGACAGACTTCCATTTTTAATGCCGCCTTAAAATCATTTTTCGACAAAATTTCAGATAAAATTAATCGGGGGCATCACCGGCTCGACGCTTCCGAAAAACTCGATACCGCGATACAGAAGTCCAGATAGGAAACGTTAACACTGGGATGGAATTTTGTACAAAATCCTAATTCTTGAAGATTCTACTTTCGCCCCGACAGTTTCCCTGGACACTTGAAAAGAATGGAAAAATGGTCAACGTCCCCGCACTCCCGTCCTCGCGGACGCTCGAAATTGGCGTCGAAATCGGCGTCGAAATCGGCGTCGAAATCCTTAATCCGGTGACACCGTCCCGTTGAAGGCTTCCCTTTTATAACGTCGCACGATCGACGCGAAGCGCATCGGATCAGGGTCGTCCTGATACTGCGAAAATTTCAGCAAGGTATGTATCTACATCCGCGAGGTGGAAGTGCGAGGTGACTTAGCGTTGCATCGTTGCGAAAGACTCGGTCTTACGAAATCTGTATACAGGTCCGAGTCGGGCCACCCTTCCGATAGATCGGGGATACACACTAAATAAGGAAACGCGGGTCATCGTGACCGACATCCACGCATAAACAAGAAAAGTACTCTCGACGCGTTCCTCGTTATTATCCGCGACACGCGAAATGTTTTCCGAAAACAAGGTGTCTTCTTCTTCTCCTCCAGGACTCCTCTCGCCGAGCCGCAATATTTGTCCACGCTTGCGTTTTTAAACCAACGCAAAAGGAGACGCTAGAACGACGGTCGTCGCGTTTTCGAAATAGACGCGGTTGCGATATCGCGTTTACAAAACTCCGACAGATAGCGGGATGGTTCTCGGGAATCGAAACCGGCAACTCTACGCTTACACAATTTATTTCACGGAGCGGTTATTCTTGTATTTCGTGGGTGCATCGTACATATATTCCCTTGACTAGACGATCCGTAAACGAAGCGGTTCCTGTCGGAACCCTTCGGAGCGGAAGCGAGCCTACGATCAATCGCAATTAGAAGTTGAATTCTCGTTACGTAACGGTCGCGGTACAAGTGGATATATCTCCGGAGACGTCGGATCACCATGCACGGTTTAGTCGGAGTTAAGGAAAAGTGCCACGATAGAGATACAAGTTAACCGGTTAATGACGATTAATACTTCCGCAATCGTTTACCGACCCGTTATCCGTTTATTGTTATCTTACATCGGAACATGAAGTTACCACTTAGCTTGCACCCTATCACATATATACACATCGCACCACTCGTATCAATATGTACAGTTTATAGATAAAAAAAATCTTCTATATTATACAGTTACGCTAAGGACATTCGTCATTGTGGAAGATTAGGTTCACTGCCGGCTCGAATGAATTTTTTCGAGACGCCCGCGGCGTTTCCCTCGAATCCGTCGGGGTCGAAGAGAGGCTCGTTCGGGCAAATGTTGTTAAGACTAACAGCACTGTTAGAGAATATTGCCATACTGGGGCCAGGTTTGTTAGCATCCGCATCGTTATTCTCCTTTTCACGGTTCCGATTCGACGAGTCCTTGTTATCCTGCGAGTGCACGTGCGAGCCCAACAAATCGCACGCGCGTCCGAGGATAACTAGACTGATCAAAATACGGAGGGAAAGAAGTATGAGGTACGCCAGGACTAAGAGTATTAAATTCGCAGGTTTTGCGGACGGAGAGAGCGTTGCGCATAAAACGCGACCCATGGCCACGCCCAGAGGAAGAGGTATAAAGCCCATTCGACGTGCCACCAGGTCGGAAGGATCCGAAAATGCGGTTTCCTGCCTTGTCTGGGCCATGTCGTACGCCAGACTTACCGTATAATCTCTGTATACCGTGGAGCTCAACTCGTTGAAGCGAGTGATGAAGGCATGCTTCACCTGTGGAGGAAAATAATCGATGCTGGTTCGGTTGGCTCGTAAATTTACTGCCACGCCGAGACTTATCGCAGCTAGACTGATTTCCGTTGCATTTTTTACATTGGCAATTACTCCTTATCGTGCGGATAACTTCTGTACTAACCCAGTCAACGAGAACTTCTGCTAACAATAGAAATATGCAGTCTGGTAAGAGAACTGCAAGCCGATCTGCACGCCAGGCGTATTCCTTCATTGTTTGCAAGCTGACGGCGAGAAGTAACATCATGAGATGAAATCGTTCCCGGACGTCGTTGCACGACAATTGGAACAAATTGTTTTTGTCGAACTTCTTGAAGACGGAACCTTTCAATTCGACAAACTGAAAAGGGGAGCGTTGTTTTTATATGACAATTTTATCACGGACGTATTTTTATGCAACTTACATTGTTTGACATCATTATGGTGAGAAGAGCTTTGTTACTGCTATTTATCGCTACGTTCAATGTAGTTGCTTGAAACAGCACTAGGATACTGTGCAACACTTTTAGAAAATAGTTAAGAAAAATATCCTAATAAGAATCAGCTCGATTGTAAATAAGAATTGCATATTATACGTTGATTTAAGGATACGGACATATGCCAGTGCAAACAACAAATGCGGTAGAGTGCCAAGATGTTGCGAATGACTGGACTGAGAACGTGTTCGTGGTTCCGTAGCAGTCCATAACAACGCATCGATCGTATCTTGTCCAAAGGCACTAAATAGTCGGTCTCCGACTTCTAGCATGTTGTAGAATATATACAATTTTATGATCGATTGACTTTTCACTAAGTGATACATCATGGATGTATCGACTTTCAACGTAGCTGCCCAGCATCCGATTACGACCACTCCTTTCAAGAGGTCGCATACTTCTGCAGGTCTTAAAATTCGTTCGCCCTTCTTACCACGCAATTTTTTACCTCTGAAAAATGTATTAAATGACTTCCTTGCTTAATCGTGTCATGTTCGATTATCTCATTTAATGCTTACCTGAAGCAATGTTTAAGAGGTCTTGTAATAACTGCCCAAAGAGCCAAAAGAAACCTCAGGGGCAGAAAAGTATAGACGAACAGAAAAGAATCGGCACACTGAAAACAGATCGTCCCACTTTTCAATTCTTGCCTCCTGCTCCACGATAAGTATAATTGGGGGCGAAACGGTGGCTTACTTGGAAAAATCCATATGCCATGAACTTTTCTACTTCTCTGGGGATTTTCATAAACGAGTAGATCTTTTCCCTCCTCGCGGAATATCGTTCCTCGTCGTGCTCCAACTGATAACCTCGAGTCAATTCCGTCCAGAGAAATTGACTCAAGGAAATCCCTACAAGCGTGTCAACCCTCGATGAACGAAGATACGTAAATACAAAATCACCAGAGTTTGAATAAACAAAATTTCTTAATTATAAGCTAATATAAAATATTATTATCGCTATAAAATTGTCATCGTGATATTCGATAGAAAATCATCGCAAGGACACGTCTGTCACCGACGGCACTTCAAAATCAAAGACAAAATTACGTCTTAACAATGAATTCGCAACTTCAATACGGTGCCAACATACCGTTGTTGATGTCACGTTTATTTGCTGAGATTTCTTTTTCCAAAGGCTTGGAATGGCCTTGTTGAGGATCGACATCTTCGACCCGACTTCCATGGTGCTTTGGAGACTTGCCGGTGCCGCGAAATCGAATGTGTCTTTTGTCAAAGTGACCGCCGTCGAGTCTGTCGTCCTCGTTGCTCATCGTGAGAGCTTTGGAATTTCTTTTCGGAACAGCGAAGCGCCTCTCATAACCTCAAATCCAACAGCTGTTTGGGCTCCATGCAAACACTCGTCCGGGTCCTTCCCTCTCTCCTAGGCGAGGCCCGAGGTGGTTCTCCTTTCCATCCCACGAAGGACTCGAGAACAGAGACGAGTCGGGAGATCGCTCACGGGCAGGGTCGCGCGATCTGAATTGCGGCTGATTGCGGTCCAACTTAGGGAACTAACTCATCTCTGCTCACAACTTCTCTCCGAGTTGGGCCGCCATTGGCAGCCATTGGGGGCAAGTGCGTGAGCCGCCTGCATGCTCCACCGAAGGCAGCACAGGACCCTGTCAGAGATGAGTTGGGAGATTGCTCACGGGCAGGGTCGCGCGATCGCATCGTGTGCTCATCTCGCTCATCAACTCATCTCTAGGGTAACTCGTAAATTATTTCTATCAATAACGATACACGAGTTTTCCCTCTACAGAATTTCACTTTTCCTGCATGCCAAGACGTCGCGCCATTGGCTGAGCGTGTGTCCAATTGCATGCCCTGTCCGCCGTTAGCACGAACCCCGTCGAATCGGCCGACACTTTCCGTTAGAGCTACCTTCCGTCTCGGCGTTCGCGTTTCCGTATTCTTTTTAGTGGGATTTTTCAATTCGAGATCTACGGAGTAGCGTAAAGGATTCCAGAGTCATCGCGATTGTAGGTCCATGTTGAGACGATGCGGTAAGAAATTTTAAGATTTCCAGGGTATCAGCGGAGTAAAGGCACAGAGATCGATCGATCAATAAGTGAGTATTCTTTGAGCGATCGAAACTATTTGTGCCGCATCTTGACATCGACGAGGACGTCGTTCCTCGAGATACGGATAACGTTTTTGCCACGCAATTCGAATCGATGTTCCGCGGGAAATCTCCACCCGGCATTCCTTGCGAGGAGAAAAAGAACGGGAAAGGATCCGGGAACTTTCTCCGAAAGTGAAATCTTCGATAATGAGAAAGTCAAGATTGTCGCAAAGATACATTCCTGGAACGAGATGAATTCGCGTGTGGTAAGAATTGCAGCCTTCGAATATTTTCCACTGCCACTGCACGTCTGTAATCCATTGGAACGCGTATGATCTTGTAACATCCGGCGAAAGCGGCTCGAAGGCAGAAAAAATGCAGTCTGGAAGTCGGAGAAAGTCGCAGGAGTTCGGATCCCGTTTATTATAAATTATTCTATCCGGCGATCGATACCACTCGAAGACATAAGAAAACGACTTGTCCGTGGCTTCGTCGCGAATGAAATTTTGTCGGATTTATCAACGATATCGGCCAAGCGAAAGTAAACGAGCGACTCGATACGACATTGTATTTAATTGTAAAGAAATTGTCACGCGAACGATCGACTCGTGGAGGGTCGAATGAGCATCGCGTGGCCGTTGAAAGACAAATTTGATAAAGGAGGGGTCACAGGTCACTGTCAGCCAGATAAGTTCAGATAAGTTAAAGAACTGTCGTCCTTGCCCGAAGTCGCGTGCACTTTATTTGACCGATTGACGAGTGCCGTTTGTTTAATCGCGCTAAAAATGACGAGGACTATAATCTACCTTCTCTTTGGCATAGGTTGACTCAGAGAACGCGATCGCATTGCCGCACGAGTCAGGGAACTCGAGGGAACCGACGTATCGGCGACAAGAGCGAATAAATCAACCTCGAGCCGAGAGAAATGGAATTGCAGCAATGCAAGCCTCAAGGTTCGCAAACGGTAAGCGGTAGCCGGGATTGTACGACGTTCCGGAGAACGGAAATTTAACGTCGCTCAGGCCCCGGACGTGGGAGTGATAATAAATCCAGTCCGATGAATAAATTGAAATTACCGTATCGATTAAGGCTAAGCGGACGTTGCTCGCGGACCAAGGCTTCGAACTCGGGTCGAGCCTGGCCTCGCGGTTAAAAGCTGAAAAATAAAGAAAAAGAGCAAATGGACCGAAGGTGGAACACGGGAATGAGAAATGAAACGAGCGATCTGGATGAAATCGGGGATACCGCGGGCCGATCTGCCCCTTCCCCGGAGTGAAAGGCTCTTTCCGAAAGAGAAAGGAAGAAGTTCCCTGCGCGTGACACGAGTACGTATCGAAACTGCAGGGGCATGGCCAAGTTGTCGCGACGAGTCTCGAGAAGAGGGTCCCGGGCTTCAAAAAGACTGGCTACTCCCATTTCGCCGGAAACTTCGCCCGCGGATTGCTCCGAGACTTGGACTCCAGGATTTTCTCCGGACCCAGGAACCTCTCGGAAATTTCAGCTCTTGCGGGGAAGTTCGCCAATTTTTCCCGAGGAAAGGATCGACAGCTGCCTCCCGATGTCGCTCTCATACGTGACCATCGAGGGCAAAGTGGGCGACAAGCTCGACGAGATCTTCAAAGTGAAGCGCAGCTTCCTCAGAGTCCATCCCGGCGAGTGTTTGGTGCCTCCTCAGTTTGTCTTCTATGGGAAAAGGATCCGGGATCTGGAGGTGCGCCAGGACGACGTTTGGCTGGTTTCTTACCCGCGAACCGGTGAGTCGAACTTGACAAAATTGGAAAGAGTTAGGTCAAGTTTCCATTTAAACTCTGCATTTACGTAATTGCAGGCAGCCACTGGGCGCAAGAAATGGTCTGGTGCATCGGGAACGACTGCGACTTTGAGAAGACCAACACCCCATTGATCATACGAAACCCGCTCCTCGAGTATGTCGGAATTTTCCGAATTTCATGATTTTTATAACGGTTTTATCATTTTATATACGCGAATCACGTGGCGTAGAGCCGTGCATTTAAAATCGTAGTTCGAGCGGCAATCCATCATATTTATATGTCATTTCTTTGGTAACGGAACCAAGACGCGTACGATCGATAATCGTTTATTGCTCCAGGTCATCGGCTTTACTGGTTACCGGTGGACACACGGAATGGTTTTCAAAACTCGGCGACTCCGTCGACAACGTCGAGAAGGCGCAGAGCCCGCGTTACATCAAGTCCCATTTGCCATGGGATTTACTTCCCAGGCAGCTTCACGAGAAGAAACCAAAGGTGAAGCCCCCACCCCCACTTTGTGACGTGTAACGAGATGAACTGGTTCATTGCTCGCAATTTAAACGATCCGCGGACCTCGACGTAAAGAGCGATTGCCGATTACGCAAGGGAATTCCGCGATGGCGGGATAAATCCCTCTTAAGAGTGTGCGTCGTGATAATTGTAATTATAGATAATTATCGATTCGTTACTTATGCGTCACGGCGTGAAAATCAGTTCCTGCCGGCCATTTCAAAAGAAATAACGAAGAGAACTAACTGCTTTGTATACGTCTCCGCACTATGTTTCAGATTATTTATATCACCAGAAACCCGAAAGACACGTGCGTCAGCTTCTACCATTACTGCAGATTATTTCACAACATTAAGGAAAACTTTGAAGACTTCGCGGAGTTGTTGTTAACGGACAATGGTAAGTATTACGCGAAGAATTAAATCGGAGCATGCTTAAAGGGCAACGTTTCGCGTTGACTCGTTGCAGCTCCGATGGGTCCATTTTGGAAACACGTCCTCAAATTTTGGGAAAACAGGAACCAGGAGAATATATTGTTCTTAACGTACGAAGAAATGACACAAGTGCGTATATTTTCCTCGATGCTTGTATAATGTTTTTCCGGAATCGTGGCGACGATTAGCCAGCCATTTAATCGTGATCGACTTTTAGGACCAGGCAGCGGCGATAAAGAGAGCCGCAAACTTTCTTGGCAAGCAGCTTTCCGAAGAACAATTGGCCGAACTCTGCGAGCACCTCAAGTTCTCCAACATGGCGGCGAATCCCGCCGTGAATTTGGAGCGCTTTCTGGAGTTGAGGAAGACGGAAGTCGAGGAGGATCCGGATATCAAGTTCATTCGAAAAGGAAAAGTGGGCGACTGGCATAATTACATGTCCGAGGAATTGATTCGCAGATTCGACGAGTGGACGGAGAACAATCTGAGAGGTACCGGACTCTCCTTCGGCTTGGACGATCCGCACGAGGAGTGAACCGAATATCTTAATCGTCAACTTCGCATAAGCGTACCTGCTAACGTTAACGTTAATTTTAGTCGCTCCGTGTCTTGCTCGCACATAAAATGTACCCGTACCGATACTCTTAAGTATCCTACCGAAGTGTATTATATTACAGCCTGAAACGACCGAATCTCTCCGGGTGTCCAGTAAACTGAAATCCGCTCGTTTACGTTTAATAAGTGCATAAACGAGTCTCCGGGAAAATCCTTGAGCAATGAAAGGTACACCGACTGCGCCGCTCGCGCGCCGTTGACAATTCCGAGCGCTAAAAGGTTCTTCCGTAAGTCTTTGTCGTAAGCAATTGCACGCATCGCGAGCAACAAGGGGCAACGGTTGACGCGGGTCGGAACACCCTCGTGCACCCTCGTGCCCCTGCTTTCGAAAAGTGTATTCCGCGCGCTCGCCGCGCTCGCCGCGCTCGCCGCGCCGATGGCGCCGATGGCGCCGATTCCCGTCCCGAGGATCGATGCCTTCCTTCGATAGCATTCGATAGCAAACGTCAAGCCCAATATGGCGTGTATCCGTGCACGTCCGTGTTATGTCAGTCTTTCGAGATCGATGTAATCGTAGTCGAGAACGCTCGGGCGCATCGTCCCCGCGGACGCGTTTATATAGTTTCTCCAGGGCCGGCCTCGAAACATTTATTTATCGAGAAATTTTACACGCTATACAGGCCGAACTCCAGGTGACACTCCGGTTCTAACCTAACCTCTCGAAGCCTTGAACTTGCAGTTCCTAGGTTGTCGGTAATCTAGCCACGACTCGATTGCAGCCTGCACGGTGTCGAAATCGCACAGGTAGATTCCATTTTTCCTATGACATTCTTCGATCGAGTGAAATAAGCGAGGGCTCAAATGAACGTTTTCCCCCCCAGTCGAGGACGGAGAGGCGAGGCAGCGTTCGGTTCGACGGATACTCGAGCTGGGATCGAGTTACGAGTTGCGTCTAATTCGAAGAGGAGAACCGGAGTGACTCCAGGACTTGACCTTAAGATTGGTGACAGGCTGGGAAAAAATGCCAAAAATACGAACTCGCCAGGCGTCCAACGGTCTTTGGCTGAGACAGCGAGAGCTGGGTTTCAGATTCCCCCTTGGCCATGGGGATCGGTTTCATAAAACGCTTTACTCGTCGATTCAGCCCGTTACTTCGTGGGATCATGGAGATAACTTGTACAATGCGATGCACGGTGGTGTTTTTAATCTGGAATTTTCTCCTGACGGGTAAGAGGCTCGATTCTTACCTTCTCTTTAAGCATTCGCCTTGTGAACGTCGGCTGAATTTTTGGCATCGATTGTAGAGGGTGTATTAAAAAATGTGCAATGTGTTTTTAATAAAAAAACTAAGGTTAAACTTTGGATAGACTCTCGCGGTATCCAAGAATTTCACGCACGACAAATGTTTTATGGTCGGCGATCGTTTAGTTCGATGTATCGGGAAATCAGTTTGCCTCCTTAAAGGAGTGCGTTGAAAGATTTCATAAGATAGGTCCATTCCATTTTTCTTTATTTAGAGTCTAGAATGAATCATCTAGTTTATCTAGGCCTTGGTAAAAGTTAGACTTCTCTGGATAGGCATCGATATTCGCATCTAGTAGTCGATGTAAGAAATTTTTTGGGATGATTTAAAAGAATCAATATTAACACGATAACCAATTTTATCATTTTAGATCTCTGCTTCTAGCAGCCTGTGAAAAGAAGAGTATTTTAATGTTCGATCCACTGTGCAGGAGATTAATACATGCGATCGATAATGCTCATTATGATTGCGTCAATTGCGTGAGGTTTGTACACTTGCGTGTTTCGATAATTTGATCATTCGTGATTATTAGCTTGATTAAAGTGGATCATTGATTGTAGAGAAATATTTGTATGTTTATTAAATGTTGTAGGTTTTTAGACCAACGTATGTTCGCTACGTGTTCAGATGATAGTACGGTAGCTCTCTGGGATGCGAGGAATTTGAAACAAAGGATAAGGACACTTCAGGGTCATTCGAATTGGGTAAAAAATATAGAATACAGTCCAAGCGATGGACTCTTATTAACCAGTGGATTTGATGGAAGCATATATACATGGGATATTAACAGGTAAAATTGCTATTATATCCAACTGCATTTTACTCTTCCTTACGGTATAGAAAAAAATTTGTAATTATGGATTTGTAAAAAGAAGAAAATAATTAAATGTTATAATTAATGTCTCTCTCTCTCTCTCTCTCTCTCTCTCTTCAGTTTTACCGAAAACAGTTTTCTGTACAATCGAGTGTTCCATACAAATGGATTGATGCGAACTAGGCTCAGTCCGGATGCCAGTAAGATGTTAATATGTACAACCTCCGGTTACCTCATCATTATACATAATCTTAAGCTAAACACGTTAACTAAGGACTTAGCAGGTTTTAAGGTACTACGGCATCTCGTAACTTATACACATGGATCTTTCGTTTCCACCTACATAAAGAAATTCGTAAAATAATACACACCTTGTTTCTTTTACAGCCAAACATGTACCGGTTGATGCAACTATCGCAAACCACGATACCGGTCGCAGCCAGCTTTACCCATCTATTCTCGCCAACTCGGACTCATAATCGCGTTGAATTCCTGACAGATTTCCCTGTCGGAGATGATGCAGAAGTGATATCGAGCTTGCAGGTTCATCCTCAAGGCTGGTGCGCTTTGTCCAGGAACGTCAGCAATGGAGAGAAATCAGAGGTTGGTTCGAGCGCTCGTCCTAATTATTTATCGCGCCTAATCGTGTCCTATGATCGTATGTCTTCGAAGGCTACGATGGACGGAATGAAAGCACGCGATCGATACATCCTGTTCATTAAATTCTAGTGGACGTGCATACACGACATTCAGGAGCGCGACACGTCGGAAATCAACGAGCAGACAAAGGAGACCGAAGACGTGCAGTTTAACGACCTCTCGGTGGAGGAGTTCGACGAGTCCCAGCAGCCCCAGCCCTCGCGTTCCGGGATTACCTCGTCGTTCGTGATCGACAGCGCGAATCGGGCGAGGATCGTGCAAACCGTGCCGGACGTGAGATCGAGTTCGTTCGTAGCGGCGGAATCGTCCCAACCTGCCAGACCATCTCGAACGAACAGCTGGCAGGAGTCCGGGAGGATACGGTCCAGACTGCAGTGCCCGAGAACGGGGAGGAGCATCGTCAGGACGAGTGCTTTCGGGGTGGTCGAGATCAGGTCGAACGCCAGCTCGTCCGAGACGGTGGGGAGCAGCTCGAGCCAGAGCAACGACATCGACGAGAGCGCCCGTGACTTCGTCGAGGATATGGAAGGCCTGATGCAAGCCGAGAACGGCCTCGACGAGTCGTCGACCGGCCGCCAGGGTAACCGGGAAGAAGAGGAGCAGGACTACAGGATCCCCAGGCCCGAGAACCACCTGAACGACCTGAGGCGCAACGCGCTGGTCAACCGCAACTTCACCAGAGGGAACGTCGAATTGCATGTCAGCACGGCGGATGTATGGGAAGCTCTGGTGGCCATCCGGGAAGCCAGGCTGCGACGAGAAAGGGAGGGCGAGTCCTACCCCATGGGACTGGGCAACGACTTCCTGCCCAGGACCCGCGTGGGCTTCAACTTCATTCCCAGGTCATCCCACACCGTGGTCATCGTCGGCGACCGGGCCCGGGCTCAGACTCAAAATAGACAGACCTCGCAGACCATGTACGCTATTCCTAGGAACCATAAGATCCACCAGAACGTCCCCAGGCTGACGCATTACATAGAGGAGCCGAACGTGGGCTCGGGTTACATCAAAGAACTGTGCTTCTCCCCGGATGGTCGACTCATTTGCTCTCCCTTCGGCTACGGTGTACGATTGTTGGCTTTCTCCAGCGAGTGTCAAGAGCTGTCCAATTGCGTCCCTGCCACGAACGAGTCGGTACAGTTGTACGAATTGGCGACCAATGCCAGCCATTCGGATATCGTCGTTAGTACCAAGTTCTCGCCGAGGCACTGCCTCCTCGTGTCCGGCTCCCTTAGCGGAAAGATCGTGTGGCATCAGCCCGTAGTCTAGCTAATTAAATTGACCGTATAGCCCGTAAGTCAAGGTTCATTTGTGACGTTTAACTCGCGGTCGTTCGTCGCGATACCGCTCGTTTTCCGGACCCATTGCGTTTATCTCCAAAGGTTAGAAACTAGTCCGGTCTGGCGGGCGCAGTTTTGAGAAGAAAATCCTTTTCTCGAGTCGGCCCGCCACCCGGGCTCGTATGGCGGATTTGTAATTCCGGTTTACGTGTATTATATGATTTTCGATAGGTACGCGTACATAACGATACGACGCATCGGTGTATGGGCGCGACGAAGAGATATTGCCAACGATGCGGACGATGCAAAGACTAATTACCGAGGATATGGACGAGTCGATCGAAATTAAGGCAGGACTTAGGTTAGCGACGCGACCTCGAAAATTCTGCACCTTCGTGCAACCAGGATGAATAAAGATGACGCCCGACGCGGATGGAACGACGCAATCGGCCTTCGATCGCGGATCGTCGAGGTTCCCCCACACGGTGAATTGATCTAGCTTTAACGAAGCTGCGAAACCAAGGAGTTGAAATCAAAAGGAGTCGAGCCACGAGTTGTTTTCATTTTTCTAATCGCATGGCGGTAGGGTATTTTTCACCGAATCGAGAGGGTAGATTTTATTCTTCACGGTAGACCCCCCGCGTCGATTCTTGTTTCGGGAGCACCGTTCCTCGGTAGACGCAAAGTCGGTTATTTATCCCGTGTCCTCTTCTGGGCGGCCCGGTCGCCCGCCAAGTGTCAAGTACTTAACGACTCGACTTTAATCGGCCAATGGCAATCATCGCGCTGACTTTCGGAACTCCGCGGAGGAACGTGCGCCACGAGCCTTCCTTCGAGCTGAAATTTTACTCTTATGTTAGAATTAGGAAAATTAGGAATAACCAGGACGAAGCGATCCGCTCGAAACGCGCTCCTTGGTCAACTTGTAGGGGAAATTTCGATATGCAATATCAGTGTAACATAATTTTCCTTCGGTTGCGACAGAGTCGCGCGATTACTCGTAACCCTTTCTCGAGTTCAGGCTTCAAAGAGGTCCTGCGGGACGAATCCATTTCGTTCGTCACGTCGAATCGGAGGACGCGGTGGCGCTCGGGTTTGAAGTCGCAAATCGTTAACGGTAGAGCCTGTGTCGATGTCCATTTTTCTACTTATCGATCCTTTCCTGCATTTTTGTCAAGATCGGATGATCTTTTGCGAATCGACAAAGGCTGCCCCGGAAAGTCGAGACGTACCCCGCCACGATCGTCGCACGTACTTCGCCTTCGAGGTCGGCGTTCGGTGAAGCAATCGATTTCGAGGTACGGGCACCCGCCCTGTTAATTACCACTAAGACCCTGTACAGTAGTTAACGTGTTCGTTGTTTTGTAAGGTTTGTTTTTCCCTTTTTTTTTTTTCTATACAATAAAGATGTTGCTGCCAAGGTCCTTCCGTCTTCCACGGGGATTCCATAGCGAGGGACGAGACGAACTCCGCCATTTGTGGAATATTATGTTAGGTCGTTCCAAGAGTAATGCTACTTTTTTATTCATTGAAATAAGAAAAATTAGATAAAAAATTGAATAGAAAAAGGTATCGGTGGATCGTCCCATCTCTCGGTGGAGGATCTCTCGTCTTCTGCGTCTCGTCGTGCGAATAGAATAGTTTGTTAAGTGTGCGAACTTTGTACCGCATCGTGCAAAATTATGATAGTTGGTTTGGGTTGGTAAATCCTTTTCCTTTTTTTTTTTTTTTATTAACGGTAGAGTGCCCTTTGTCTCCATTGCGCTCGAATTCCTGCGACGTGATGCACGAGACGTTTCCGAACGGCACTCGATCTCGATAACGCCAATTGGCTTTGCAATGTCAAATCGACGCAATTGCGGTGTAATTGGGCTATATCGCCCGGCGATATCGATGACTTTTCCGCGTGATTTCGCTGCTAACTTGGGGGCAACTCTTCGGCATGCCGCTTACTCGGCTGGTCTTGTTTCTCTTCATCTGCCAAGTGCGCTTCTCGGGGTCGACCCGAGACGGGACGTGCGGGAAATTCACGCAAGTAGAATCTAGAAGTTCAGATATATCCTGAGAAAATATAATCGTCGCTTAGTAAATGCGAAAAAAAATGTCTTCGTTTTCGGGCGAAACTTTCCCGAGTTTCTTAATGGCGCGAGGAATCTAGATTAGGCGTTCGGGTAAATTTGGTGCGACCCGCGTAAATCAATCTTGCCCGAGGACAGGATTTATCAGCTCGGATGGAGGATCGTTTGTTCGATGTAAATCCCATTCGGCCGTGATAAATCGCAACACTGTCCAACATCGGGAGATCGATCGATTCGCTGCAGGAGGTGCCTCGGCTCGGCCGATTTTCCTCGGGATTTATTTGCCCGATCTGCGCGCCGAAATTGAGACTGATAAGTGGAGCTAACGAGTCAATTGAAGTCTCTGAATCATTTTTTTTCATCTTCAGAGGAGACGGCAAAATCCTCAACTTCGTATTGAACGGCTTAATAATTCTTAATTAAATGTATTTACGTTTATTGTAATTATGTTATTACATTACAGGCCTAGATACGTCTTCGCGCTGAGTGCGTCAACGAATGATATCGATCAGCTGACGAAGTTGGTGGAAAACTTCCGATCGGCGATCGTGAAAAGGCCGAATTCCGACGATGCTCCGGTCCACGTGGTCATCGATCCACGAGATTTCAACAGGTTTTATCGGCAGGTTCGTCCTCTGAAGATTTATCGGTCTCACTGGATCCTCTGCGTCGACCCAAAGGAGGTGGCGGCTCTACCGTTGAGGCTGAACGACGAGAATTTCGATTTAAGAAGGAAAGAGGAATCGTCGGAGAAGGAAGAATTCGCCCAAAGGGGAAGTTTCAAGACGAAACCTAGACCTAATGATTTCCGTAATGCTTCGTCAATTAATTATAAGAAAAAAATTGGGGTACCTCTCGGGGGGAGGAAAATAGCCCAGAATGGGGAAGGAGGGAAGGAAGTGATTTTCGGAAGATACCCCGATGAGGAAGACGAGGAAGGAAGCTGGGAAAACTTTCGTCAAGAAGATTCGGCGAGATTCGTTCTTCAGAGCGGAGGACCGAAAAGTCGGAATTGGGAGCGCGATGATCTCGGAGATCGCGAAGGGAATTTAAATAACGATGCCCTGGAGGACGTGGAAAGGATCTCGACGAAATCAGAGGGCAAGAAGGAATCTCAGAGTGAAGAGACCAATGACGCGGAAGGTTCGGAGTCAATTTGGAAACGGGACCTGACGGAGAGGATGGTAATGGAGTTAAGGACCCTTCCCAGGACCTCCGGGGAGGGATCTCCTCGAGCAAGGGCTTTCAGAACTCGAAGGGATGCGAGAAAGGTAGTGGAAGGGTCCGAAAACGAGGGAAATTCAAAGTCGGTCGAAGAAGCCGAAGAAACGACGCAGAGACCGACAAAGAGATGGACGAACTCTTCGATTTCCGGGATTTGGTCTTTGAGATCCTCGAAGCCTCCCAGAGATACCGAAGCATCCAAAAGGATGGAGAAGACGAAGAAGCCCTCGAAGGACGACGGACCATTGTCGAGGCATATAACAGGGAATAAGGTGGAACCTAGAAAAGCGAATACCGCGAAAAACGCGACGAAACCCGCGAAAGAAAAGGATGCGAAACAGGGAAATCGCAAGAAAGCCGCGAAAAACGACTCGACGAAGCCTTCGGCCCCGAAGACGACGCGGTCTCCCAAGATCGCGACCACGGAGAAGCTGCGGAAACCCGCGCGAATTCAGGAAAATGGTCGGAAGAAGGGGGCCGGCGCGAGTGGTGACTCTTCAAGGAATTCCAAGAACGCGAAATACGTAAATTTGAGTAAGCCACTTCCAAAGAAAGAAGTCACGCTGGGGCGTAAAACGTGGACAGCGAGTCAGGAACAGAACCCGAAGAGTGGAGCGATCGATCCGACGACGGCGAAAGGGTCGATCGCAACGAAGACGGGGATCACCGCAAAGAGGCCAACGACGAAGGCCCCGAGAATGAACAAGAAGATATTCACGACGACCCCGAAGACGACAACGGTGACGAGGAAGACCACGGCCTCGACGTCGAGGCCGCATTTTCTTCCTCCCGTTCCTACCAGAAATAATCCTGAATATTGGCTCGTTACTAGTCGCACGACGATGAAGCCCAGGAAGATCTTAAAGTGGCTATCAGCCGACAGGAACTCGTTGAGGACGACGAGGAGACCTAGAAAGTTTTACAAGTGGCGAACGATGAAGGACATGTGGATGAAACGCAAAAAGAGTAAGAATCCCGGGTTCCAGACAGCGAAGCTGCGTTCTCGGAGGAACTTCGACCTGCTCACCGATCCCAACAATTTGGAAAAATTGGAAAATTCTAAAAATATAGCAAATTTAAAAAATTCAGGTGATGATCTTCCTGGCAATTCCTCGAAGACGGTTTTGAATTACATATTGAGTTCTGATTTTCGGACGGACCTGGGCAATTTCTCCTTGAATCTGGAACGTCTCCTGATGAAGAAGAAGCAGAGTATAGGGAGAGGGAGCGAGCACTCCGGAGGACCCGAAAGGGAAGAGGATAAGAAAAAGGAGGTGTCAAGGGCGACGAGATCAAATTTGGAATTTGCACAAAAACGCCAGGGACCTTGTAGTGGCATCAAGACTTGTGGGGTCGAAGTTCCCACCAACGTTCCCACCTTGACGAAACCTGTGACCAGTTCATGGAGTTATTGGGAAAAAGGAAACGGAGCCGAAGACGAGTCGATTCCCGATCTTCCCGATGAAGAGAATTATCCCGATGAAGATTACAGACCCCTGAATCCGCAGATCGGAGACCAGGAGATCTTGACGAGAAAATTGACGTACGACGCCTCGAAGAAGAGGGACGAAGAGCGGATAGTTATTCTTCGTCGATGATTTAATCGTAAGTTATAATTAATGTCGAAGAAAATACTTAACCCTAAAAACTAATTAAAATATCCAGGATCTCGTAACCGATCCGCGACGTGGAGGAATAAAGCGCCCTGATTGGCAGCAATCTTAAACAAACAATAATAATAATTCTTCAAGGTTACTCGATTTACTGCAGACACTTTGGGGGTTTTTAGTCTCTTTATTAACGTATTACTTAGCCTATGTACAGCGAAGTCCGTAAAAAAAATAACGACCGCTCGTCGGGATCGCTGAGCGCCATTTCGCGTCGTTTGTGGCATACCAATTTAATCTTTTATTTTTTCTTTTCTCATAAATGGAGTTTTAATTTACTAAACATAAGTCGGTGTTTCTTCTACATTTAAGGAGAGCCAGGTTTAAAACATCGGAGCTAATCTGATTTTGTTTAATCGTTTAATTCGGTTCTGCACAGCGCGACGCGTAATGGCGTTTACGAATCTGCACAACGTGCGAGTAGGGATTAGTAATGAGCTTAACAATTAACGGTGTAGAATAATTCGGCGGTCCGCTTGTACCTTCGTTGTCACGATGCGCTAACATTCTACAGGGGATAAATAAAAAGCGGCTTTCGAAAATCGTCCGAGTGGCTGGCGTTCGCCATTTCAGGGCCCGCGATCATCGTTTTATATTTTATACAAGTATGATATATCAACGTCGATCGCGTCGCCATCTCGTTAAAAGTCCAAATATCCGCAGGACGACCCTAGGACGAATGCACAGGAGGTAAAACCGTGCAAAAGGTTGTGGATGGAAATATTCTGGTAGGACCCGTGTCAAGAGTACTACGCGTCTGGTGAAAAAATAAAAAAACAATAGGATCAACGATGGCGGTTGGGGTTGGAGGCTGCCTGGAATTGGAATGATTTCAAAAATTATTGCTCCACGGAAAATCAAAAAGAAAAATTGCTTGAAAGAAAGGACATCACCGAAGGATCCCAGGGAAGGCAAGACTCGTGGATATCCGAAGAAGCTTCCGAATGAAAAAGAGGACAAGACGGGATCATCATGGACGACCGGTTCGATCTACGTCGACCGTCATCGAGGGACGGACCTTTTTTTTAAAAAGGAATCAGATGGCAAAGTAGAGGATCGCGGTTAAAACTACGTATTCCAAGTTGGCCAGAAGGATCTGGCCAGCTCCAGCTATGGAAGAAGAGTCCCGATCCTGGTCACCTCGGACAAAGTCGTGAGATTTAATGGAGTCCATGTCGCGCGGACGATGGTTGGGTTCTTCAAGGTGAAGACCGTGGTCACGAGGTAAGGACGAATTATCGGATCCAGAGAATTCGGTCCTCTCGTACGCATCTCCGGCCGAACGTTCGGACCTACTAAGTAACCGTAATTTAGTGTTCCGTTGTAGAGGGAAGGCGGGGAGTCGACGCCGTTGGGAGTCTTTGAGGCTGAGCTGAGGGTTCTGCCCAGGCTGAACGTCTCCGGGCACGGGTGGAGGAAGCTCGCCCATGAACTTTCCAAACCGAGGGGTTCCGGTAAGCAAATCCGCCGTGGTAGAGGACAGAGGGAACCTGGACGTCGCGATCTGCCCGCTGATCTTCGGGTTCGACGACGCGGACCTGGCCAAACCGGGATCTCTGACCCTCTTCCCATCGTAAGTAACGAACGTACCAGCGGGAAGTTCATCCGCCGAGGAGTCACCGGGAGGAAGATACCTACTGTCCAGACGATCGGCAGCCGTCTCCATGTCATCCAGCTCGTCCAGCCTCGTCTTCCCCCTGCTGGATTGGACCTTCTTCACGGGCCTCTTCCTCCCGACGACGCGATCCGGGGGAGAGGGCACGAAAACGGGCTCAAAACTGTCCACCGTCTTCTCCGTCTCTATCGACGCGTTGGAGCTCCTCTCCTGCATCGACTCCCTGACCTCGCCTCCGATGATGGGCTCGAAGCCGCCCTCGATGACGACGGACTTGGGGTCGAACCCTGTATTCCTGGCGAATGGAGGCTTCCCCTCTCCCGAGCTCGCGTTTTCCAGCTGGTTCTCGTCCCTGTCCATCTTGGCCCAGAGCCTGGACACCTCCGGCTGCCCCTGGGGTCCCGACATCCAGGGTGGACGTGTACCAAAAATCGGCTTCTTCCACTCCGGGCCCAACGCGAGACCCTGATTACCCGTCCCGTCCGCCAACTTGGCCACGATCACTGGGCGACGCTTTTGCACGTAGGGCCTCCTTGGAATCGTCTTCTGAGTCTGGAGAGAGTATTTCCCGAGCTGGCTCATGATTGCCCGGTGATGATCTGGAAGGAGTTTAGAGTGGTTAGGGTTAGGCTCGCGGGAGTTGGTGTCCGTCACCTTATAGCTGTAAACGGGCTGGCTGGCGGATGCCGAAGGGCCTCGGTGGGACCGAAAGGGCCCATCGTAGTGCCTATGAAGCGGATGACGGTGATACTTCGGCTCCTGGTCCAGACGGTGGCTCTTCCGGTCGTGCTCTTCGTTAACGGGAGGCAGGAACTGGCCTCGATCGTATGAGAACGGCTGATTCGAGCGGGTTAGTGGCGGATGGTAGCCTAGCTTGGGAGGCCCTTGACCCAGGTTAGTGTACCGCGGGGGAGGCCGATGCATCGCGTATTCTTGCCGGTGTCGCGGGAACTCCGGATCCGCGGTTACCTTGCTTGGCACTCGGATGCTGAAGCTGCCCTCCAGGTCGGAGTTCGGCGCCAAGACGTACGTCTCCCGCACCTCGCTGGCCGCCGCCGATGGAGCTTGACAGTCGTCGTGCACGTGGATCTTCCAGCCCAGGTATCGATGGGTGAAACACTGCAATCACGAAGGTCTCTTTACGCCCTCCGATCGCGACTCAACCCTGAGACTTATCGATTACGGCCCGGTATCGGTATGTCCTTCGATTCCTCGCTGGGACAGAGGTGCGTTCCCACTACATGGGATAGATAGGGTCTTCGCTCCTCCACGTGCACCAATCGATGGGTCCTTGCATCGTTATGTGGGTCGCGTAATGATATATGGGGCATTAAATCACCCCCAAATCCCTCTACTGGCTCTTCTCCCTGACCTCGGGGAGCACGCCGCAGATACCGACGACTGCTACATCGATAAACCGTCCAGGGTGCGGGAATCGCCTCATCGGGGCGGACCCCTTTCTTTTTAGGAGATTCCAGGAGAGGGTCGCGAAAGAGACGACGTTACCTGATAATACACCGTGTCGGGAGTATCGTTGTCCGGCGTCCACTCGACGATTCCCGGTTCGCCGGGTTCGCACTCCAGGGTCAGGGTTCGCTGGTAGGCCCCGAAGGAGGCGAACTCGTCGGCTAGTGGCTGACTCTGGTCGGGCATCCAGTTACAGAATCGACCTGCCCCAGTGGGTATGACGTTTCCACGTTGGCGACGAACTCCGGCAAAGACCTTCACCGCCTGCGGGAGAAAACGTACCTCCGGGTGAGCGAACCCGAGATCGGGGACTCTCCTTTCGTCCAGGAATGAATTCTTAGGGCGAACTTACGGCCTTCTCTTCCGGCGTCTTGTGCAGAAAACCTCCAACGGGGTCGTCGGTGACGTAGAAGGGGTGATAACGCGCCGGGATCTCCGAATCCTGTCCACCCTCGACCACGAAGGTGTACTTCCTGCCACGAACCACGTGGATTTCGGGGATGAGGAGACCGTTGATGTACCAGGAGATGCCCCAACCGACGTGGCCTGCGGAGAGGGCGTTCGTCAGGGCAACCGTGCGCGGCCGACGTTTTCTCAACCGAACAAGGTACGTGGAATTTTACCGGTGATCGCCGGATACCCGTGCTTCCCTCCCGTGGGGCCCATCTGCGCGTAGAAAACTCCGTCCTCGGGTTCGTAGCACTGGATGGGAGGGATCTCCCAGGCGTCGTTCTTCGGGGCCGGAGCCGGGGTTGCCTGTAATCGTTTCGGACGTCTCGTAGTTACCACGAGTCTCTGCCTCGACTGCAACGAATCGCGCCTTTTTGCACTTTTCGGATTCTCCCCGGGAAAGGCCAGATTCGGTCGCGAAGTTTAGGCTCACCTGGACGCGAGCGGGCTTTTCGCCCTCGTCGGGGCGGTCCTGGTCGGGCATCGGGCAGTTCCAGGAGGGCGGTCTACCGAACTCGATCAACCGGTCGCTCTTCAGGTAGCTCGTGTGGAAACTGACCTCTCCGCGCTCGTTCAAGGGTCCGATCGCCCAGACGATGGCCTGGGAGCCGTTCGTCCTTATCGGCAGGTCCAGTCGATCGCTGGCTTTCAGGGGTCTCTGATAAGTCACGATGCTGTACCCGTTCACCATGGCAGCGTTCAGGAGGCGCACCGAATTCGTGTTCTCCTGTAAAACGTGGACCTCCCTTAGCTCGACTCGACCGGAGCTTCCCGCGGCGGTCCCCGACACTTTTCTTGACGACGTCGACGCTTGCCTGTATTCTGGTGTCGGGACAGCTTCCCCGGGTCCCGGAACACTGCGATTTGGCGTCGAGGAAGTAATCAACGGCATATCCTTGAAGAGTCCGCTTGTCGACCCACGCGACGGCGACGTCGCTCCCGATCATGACGCTCTTCTCGGGATCCGGGGAGAGACCGAAAGCCATGTACTCGTTGGTCTCTGGAGCGGAAAAGAACTCGTACACGAGGGCCGGGAAATTTATGCCGGAGCTGTCGCGAGGAGCGAGGCCCAAATTTACCCCCGCGAGCCCCCTGGGAAGCGTCACCGGAGAGGAAAGGAAGGGACTCGCCTCCGGCGTGGAATTACAAAAAGGGCCGAGGAATAAAATCCGCGAAAAAGGGATATTAAATCGCGGCACCCTCGTAAAAGCGGGGCGCCATTGGAGCATAACGCGCGGGCGTAAAAGTTAAAGCGAGACGATGCTTATTTTTGCGATCATTCGTTCTCCGGGCTTTTTCCTCGACGAGATGTGGCCCGTTCCTTGTCAATTCGCGGCCGTAAACGGCGCATCGGCGCGGAGAAATTTCCGCGGAATTTCATTTCCGGACTTAACCGAGACCTTTCGGGTCCCGTCGACGCGCATCGAGAGGAAAGGTGCGGCTCCTCGATGTGCCTTTCTCCTCGCGTGTCGCAACGCCCGACGCCGAAGAGGCTCTCGACGGACTGCTAATTATAAAAGTGAAAATTAAATGGCAACTCTCGCTTCCCTCGGGCTGCGATCGTTGGATCGACTTTGCTCGTTCGTTTCTTTTATTAACGGGACGACGGGCAATTGCCCCCCTTTCGCGCCTCCGTGGCACGACGAATCAAAAACGATTTCTTACCGAGTTTTCCGACGAGTTGGACCACGATGCTGTCCCCGGCCACTGCCCATCGCACCTCGAAGGCCAAGTTGTCCTCCAGAACCTCGCAATTCAGTTTCGACTGGAAAAGATTTCACGGGAATATATTCATTTTTAAATCTACCGAAGATATGGATTAAAAAAGTTAACAGGGAATTTATATCGCCAAGCCGGGGTCGATATTTTCACCTGGGCTGTTTAATTTCTCCGGTAAAATGTGTATCTGGATATTGCATCGGGCTGCATTAAAAACGCCGGTACCGCCCCCGGGAAAGCTTTATTGGAAAATTGGAAAAGCGTTCGCGGAATACGTCCAGATTTTTTACGGATTACCTTCGAAGCGGGTTTCGAAAAGTAACGAGGTTTATCCAAGAACCGATCGGTACGTCTTGCATCGCGATTGTCGTAAATTGAAAATAATGCTCCGCGAAGCTGGCGGGTAAAAAATGAATAACCGACTCCGTTCAGTGGTGCACTTTATTAAAGTACGAAGAAGGGCAGAAAAATATATGCGTCGCGTGGACGCGTGCTACCGTCGGCTCGACGCTCTTTAGCTTCGATTCCGTCGGATCGTAAAGCATTGCGGCATCTAAAACTATACGTGGAAACGTTTCCCCGCACCTAGGGGAAAAATCGGCACCGATACGCCAAATGGAAATAAGGAAACCTTGGCAAGTGCAGCTGCGGTACCTACTACTTACAATAATTACCCCCATTGCGCAACTAAGCCAACGACCGGGGTTAATCGACATATATTAAGGGGATTTCCGCATACAATAAATAACCCACACGCCCTGGCGTTAAATAAATAAACCGAGAAATCCAGCTCTGATTGTAGCTCGTACTTTGGGTTACGCGAGCGGCCACTCGCGAGGGCCTCGATCGGTCTAACCGCGCGCTTTCCCTCGACCCCCGCGAGTCGCGAGTCCGCGACGTGCCCGTCAGGTCCCAAGGGTCGCCTTTCGTCGGACGGCGTTCCCCCCCGAAGAGGACGTTCGGGGTCGAAACGATCAGTATCGAACGAAGGAGTCGAGTCTGCGGTCGCCCTGGAAGCGCAGGAGTCTCGAATAGGACGCGGGCTGGCCGATCCCGTGCTGCGGCTCCTCTCCCAGGGGGACCGAGCCGTCCGCGTCCCTCCCGAGGGGAGACTCCGGCACCGCGTAGTCCTGGCGCAGGGGAGAGCGGTAGGTCGTCGGCCTCTGCCTCCGGGAGTCGATCGTCAAGGGCGAGGATGCCGAAGAGGGGGCCGGGGACGCCTGGTGGAACGGCTCTAGGACCGGCTGGCTCTGCAACACAAGGACAGAGGCCACCTGGTTATAGCACCCAGCCGAGGCTCGCCCCCGGACGGCATTCCCTCTTCCGCCTTCCTCGATCGCCACTTCCGATCGCGTCATCCCCGGCCCTCCTCGGGGTGGTCCCGAGGATCGCGTCTCGGCGAAAGCAAAGGGACTCTTACCTGGGGCGAGACCCCGAGCATCTTCAGAGAGGGCGGCACGTTGAGACCCTGAGGAATTTCCACGTGGCCGAAGTCGACGGCGAAGGCCTCGCACCAGACGCCAAAGTGTCCCAGCTGGTGGACGGTCAGGTCCCCGGGCAACGTCAGGACGATGGTCTTGCGATCGTACCTGCGGAGGGGCTGCTCCTTTCCGTTCTCGTCGGGCACCCTGATCCCCTGGGGCGAGGGTCTCGGCCCGGACCCGGTCCAGAACTTGGCGTCTAAGAGGACAGACAGCCCGGAAGGCTTCGCTCAACTCCCTGGAGCCGCTTTTATCCCGGAGGTCTTAGACAAGGAGGACCACTCACCCGGAGCCTCGCCGTCGTAGCTGAAGCCGGGGATGAGGAGGGTCTGCGCGTCCACCAGCACGACGGGCTCCGAGCTCACCCCGTGGACGCCGTTCAGCTCCGCCAGTTTCCGAGGCCTGGGGTAGTCGAAGCCTCGCGGTATCCTCACGTCCCCGAAATTCACCTGGTCGACAATGGAGAGATCGTTATTCGCCAACGGGGGATCTTTAACCGAGAGACACTTTCTTGCACTCACGGAAAACTCGTCGCACCAGACCGAGAACCACTTGATGTTGTCGAGGGTCTTGCCCTCGGGCAGCGTCAGAGTGATGTCCTTTTTCCTGTAGCGCTTAAGGACCTCGGTTCTGAAGGAAAAATACGAATTACTCTCGATGTTCCCGCGAATTCCTCCGATTTCTCGGCCCAGAAATGGAAGGTTCACTTACGTGCCGCGTTCGTCTCGAACCCTGAACCCGCCGATTCCGGGACTTTTGGTACTCCCGGCGTAGAAATAGGCAGCTAAAAAAGTGAGACATTTTTCCTTGTCGTTTCGGGACGAATCTCGATTTTTCCCAAGGACCGATGTCGACTCTCGAGCGCCAATTTCGTCTCGAGACGATTCTTGCTCGCAAGGCTTCGCCGAAAGTGCGATTAATTGGAATCGACGGAGATACCTGGCGAAAGCGAGAGTGCCGACTCTCTCGACGAAACGGGAAAACCTTTTGCGGCCAAACGAGTTTGTTCGTGTCGCCTTCCGCGATGCGAGCGAGCAACCTCGGCTCCGTATGCGGTGAATCCGCGAAATTCGTCGAAATCGATCTCCCAATCAAATAATTAATCACCGGCAAACGATAGTTTATGCAGAAGTTTGGAAGGAAAAAATTCGCGCGAGTTTCTCCGTCGATTCCGGGCCCGGAGTTCCGAGAGAATTTCGAAACGACACGCGGATAAACGCGTTTGCATTTATTGGCGCTGCGAGATCCCTCCACCGCCTTGGGATAACTCGGAAAGGGAATAAATGCGGAACGCTCTCGTGGGTTTCGATCCGCGAGTCCTTTTCTCGCCCGCTAAATATGTCCCATCGATCCTGCGCGTAAATTATGCGCCTTTCGTCACAACTTAAAATATAATATCTCTCTTCGTTAATCGTCGGTCACGTAAGTTACGGAAAAACGCGAAGATGGCGGACGTGAAAGTATCAGCACCCAGATACATGTCATCGGATAGGAAAACTTCGGGACGGAACTGGGTCGGATCGTTTATCAAGGTGGAAAGCTGGTTTCCCCGATTTCCATCTTTCTCGGGCCTTTTTTGACGTATAGAGAGATTCTCGTTCGGCCTCCTTTGGACAATTTCTGGAGGGATGGGGTTCGTTTGAAATTTGGACGGACCGGGTCCTTCGCCGTCGTAAGTGAAGTCCTTGATGTAGAGAGTCCTGGCATCCACGGCGTACACCTCGCCGCTGAGGCCGTGATGAAGTTCGGACAGTTTTCCGATAAGTTTTCCGTAGTACGCCCCGTTGCATATATCTGAAAACAAAAGCGGCCACGTGAATTCCTCCGGCTCCCAAGGCGGAAGCAGGACTTTCCGGGGAGTTTCCGGGGAGTTTCCGGGGAGTTTTCGGAGACTCGACGGGGCCGAAAGTTACGACGCCGGGAAGCAACGCGTCGTATCGCGATACCTGATTTTCCGATAGAGTCGATCGATATCTCCAAAGGTTTTCGGGCCGGACTCGAAGTCCCTCGAACGGTGGCGCGAAAGGACTTGAGAAAAGTGATAAAAAATCCCGCAAGAGGCGAGAAGAGCTTCCGAATGCGCGGCGCCGCGTCGAATCGATATCGCGATCGATCGGCTCGAAACATCAAACGGCGGCGTTTTCCTTCAAAGCCGCCGAACCGAGGCATTCGTGGAATCCGTTTTCTGGGTCGAAGTAAACGGTGTTTCGTCGATATCGGCGGGCCTCGATCGATCGATCGACGATAATCGGCATTCGCGGCGGCGAGCGGTTAACGGTGGAAATTTCATTACGACGCGGAGAGAGGGGAGGATCGATCCAGAGGGCGAGCGCGAAATCCGCGGGCATTCCGCGGTCGTTCCGCACCTATTCCGCGCGGCAGTCCCGGGGTCCCGTTCCTGGAAGGCGAAGGACCGGCCAATTAAGGTCGTTCGGTATCGACCTCTTAATTAAGGGCGATCTCGATCCGAGACCGCCGGCCGATCGATCTCGATCGAGTCCCGTTAACGGGTCCGCGTTTACATACGAGTCCTAACGAATCCGTTCTAACGACGCGATCCAACGGGACGGCGCTGCCCGTTTATTCGTCGCGCTCGACAACGGATCCCGGACACGCGGCGGTGACTCCGTTTTTATTTCCCTACCGTTCCGCTCCGTTTCACGGAGCGCGACAAGGCCGTTCTCGGTTCCTCCCTCGGGCGTCGCAAAAGTAGCGAACGTCGGTACGAATATTTCGATTCGGGTTCCGTTTGAGGAAGTCCAGCGACAAGGCCTTCCTCCTGGGTCGGGAAAGGAACGCTTGCGAGAGAGAAAGTCGCGGTCGGCCAAGGTAATCGTCGGGTTTGGTGGCCGAGGTGTCGCAACGATTCCTCTCGTGATCGCCCGATTGACTCGGAGCATCGGCGAAGCTTCTCGAGAAGATCTTCGCGTACCTCGAATCGGCTCCATCGTCCAAATCCGGCCAACGAATCCGCGATAACGGCCCGACTCGCCGTGAAACGGCGCCAGCTCGTCGGCGGAGACGAATACCAGTTCCCGAGAGCGAGGCCCGTTGTTTTCTTTGGCTGAAAGTAGCGAATGGCCGATCGATCCGCCGCTAAATGTCAAGGCTAGTCGGCTGGACTCGATGTCAACCCGGGGATAAATGTCAGGGTTATTTTCGTGTCAAAATCCCGGAGCACGAGTCACCGCTCGTCGAATTTTTCAATTTTCGCAGTTGGAACCAGAAGCAGCGCCCCGAAGAGCGACAACGAGAATCGACGTGGGCGCTCGGAGCTGCGACGTCGAGTTGCTTGATCGCGTCAAAATGCCTATCTGGGTCGCGGAGGTTGTCTTCCACCCTTTCGTCGACACGCTCGGAACCACAGGAACGCGATCGGTCGACCGGTCGCGCACCTTGAAGAAGGCCGGCTCGAAAGTCGCGGAGAAACGGAGCGGCACCGAAAACGGCATCCAGTTCGCCCTGGGAACGCCACGAAGAAAAATTGCTAATTTTCGTTTTCTCCGCCGGTCGCGATTCCGAATACGTCCGGCTAGGACGCGGCCCGTTTTCCGCAGCGCCGAGACGGTGGGCTCCCGGAGGGGGGTAAAATTTCCGAGTTCGGGGCGAGGACCGACTCCGAGGTCCGGAGGGCAGCGAGGGGGCCTCTTCGGGGTTCGCTAAAAGCTCGACGGGTCCAAAGCCACCGTAAACCGCAACCAGGTTAAAGCCGAAGAGACCTAGGAGGGTCTAGGAGCGCCGAAAGGGAGTTTCCGAGAGACGGTCGCAGAGTGGACGGACGTTTGCCGGACACGAGGAGACCCTTAACGGCCGTTGGCGCGGTCGGCGAGGAGAGGTTCCCGGGCGCCGATCGCCGAAGGGACTTACCGGAGAAGACCAGAAGCAGCGCGAAGGCGGCGAGCGTTGGTCCCTTCATGGCGTCTTCGTGGTTACTGCCGACGAAAGTGGTCGCCAACGATCCAGCTAGCTTTTGCCGATCCCACTACGTCCTCTCCACCTTCTCCTCTACCGGCGGGCCCGAGGTTCGTTTCGTGCCCCGGGCCCCGCTCTTCGGGGCCCCCTCTCCGCGGCTCGTCCGGGACTCGGATCCAGAGGAGGCCTCGCGGTTCCCGAAACGGAGTCGGTTCTCGACGTCTTCCCGGGACCTCCTCGCTCTCTAGCCTGTCGTGCCTGGAGGGGTATGCGGAACGGGCATCCCGACCTAGAAACCGCCTTCTTCGACCGCGGGATAATTAAACACTTTGGATTGGAACGATTATCACGCACGCGCGCTCTCCTCTTCTTTCCGCACTGGAGGGCGGCATCGGGGTCCCCTCGAAGACCCTGACTCCCGGGGCACCTCGGCACCTCCGGGTCCGAACGACGGAAGAGCAAAGGGCGGATCTCGCTCGATCGATCTCGGGTCGCGGCCGCGCGAAAGTGACATCCGGAGCGATCCTCTCGCAAGAGCGGATTCCGCGAACGCTCGACTCGTGTGCACGTAATAACGTTAGCACCGTGACTAACGACCGAGTGCCAACTCGTCGTTCTTACGACACGTCCCGCGGCGGTTTGCCCGCGGATCCGCGATCGTCGTTAGCCTCGTTGCTCCTCCAAATGCTCTTCGAGGTCCGAGCCGGAAAACCGACCGCCTCCGTTTTCATTCCGATGACGCCGGAAATGCGCCGGAAACGCCTCGGAAAGCGCCCTCGTATTCGGAGCGCTTGCTCGGCTCTTCGGGGTCCGGTCGGAAACTTGCGGTCGGCTTCGCAAACCGAAGTTCAAAGTTGAACTCCGCTCGAATCCCGAATCTCCCCGCTGTCGTGACCGGCTTCGCCGGGAACTTGGAGGGCCCCGATGCGGACGTGACGTGGCTGCGAGACAAGGGGCACCGATCGTCAAAATGGAATCAATTTGCAGATGCGCGACCGACGGGACGTCGACGAGGGTTCCCTCCGTCTTTTGGTTCCGGCGGAGGAAGAGGAGCTGCCGGCTCCTAGAGATGGATGGCGAAGGACTCTTCTTCTTCCGATCTCCGAATGCGCGATCCCCGGAAAAGCAGCGGAGGAGGGACTTCGTCTTTCGGTCCCTGGTGGTCGGCGACGAGGCGCCTTCGGGGAGACGTCGCCGCATCGGGTCCAAGGTGAGCGCCTCGTCCCCGCTTCTTCGCCATCGGCGGGAGACTTCGATGCCTCGCTCTCCCAACGAACGTACGTATTTCTTTAATGACCGTTCCAGGCCACGCGAGGAGAACGAGAGATCTTGCCCCGCGGAAGGGGGACTCCGAGGATGACATTTCGAGTTATGGGGTCTTTAACCCGACCGATGCGGGTCAAGGGTCGCGTAAATTCTAATATCGGGGAAAATGCCTCGAACGAGCGCGCTTTATTATAAGGGTCTTCCAATCATCTCCGCGCGAGCGTTGATTAATTTTTATCGACTCGTTGACCGTCGACACCTCGTCTCGCCGTGTCTTTAACCCGATCGATGCGCGTTAATTTTAATATCGATAAAAATTGCCGCGACGAAACGCGCTTTTCTGGCCGTCTATCCGGTTATGCGTGACCATACCTCCGATGATTAAATGTTTATCAAGTTGTCGAGAGTCGACCCAGCGTCCTCCCCTTGAGCCCAGGTAACGCGAGTCAAGGGTCGCTAAAATTTCGATATCCCGAAAAAATTCCTTCGCTGGAACGCGCTTTATTAGCAGTCTCGGGCCGCACGGCGTAGTGCACCTCGGTAATTAAATTTTTCTCGAGGTTGCATATATCCGTGCTTAAAATAGGCGGAGCTATCGATTTCTGCGTCGACTCCGTCCCGGGTTGGAGAAAGGGGATTCGAGCGATAGCTTCCCATTGCCGATAGTGCCGAAGGTACCGATAATCGATCGATCGACGCCGCGGAAAATGGCGGAAATTGAGGAAATTTGGGGTCTCGAGGGGAGGGGTTCGGGTTTAAGAAAGCCGCCGCCCGGCCGGTCGCGTTCCTCGATGGCGAGCCGGGAGATCTATTCGGAGGCCGCTGATATTTAATACTTTCACTTGAACTCCTTGACCCGCCGCGATCGCCCGTACGTCCGCACGGCGCGCTCCTGCCTCCGTGGAAGTGCGACTCGCTCGAGTCCGTTGGCTCGTATGTTTCTGGACCGAAGTTTTTTCCTTTTTGACGGCCGGCGGACCGAGAGAGATTGGGGAAAGTAGAAGTAGATGATAACATTTTTTTTAGGGGGGAAGTTCAGCGCCGACGAGGCGGCTTTAAGGGGGTGAGGGGAAGGGGAGCAGTTTGGGGGGTGAGAAAGGGTCGGGCACGGACGTTTTCATAAAGAAGAGATTATTTTTTCCAGAGGATGGGAACAGGCCGCGAAATGGTTCCGCGCAGCTCCGTGCTCTACTAAGCCTATGGAATTTTTATGCTAACGACGACGCGCCACGGCGCTCGGTATTTACCCTTCTATGCGAATCCGCCGTTTCGCTTCGGACGGATCTCGCCGGACGCTGCCGGAAGCGAAGAAGGTAAAAAATGGTAAGAAACGTAAACCCCTGAATTTCCCAAAATACGGATTACAAGTATGCGGCGTATAACGAGGCCGAGGGGCTGGGCGCGAAATCGCCAACTTTTTCAATGTTTACGTAATCGAGGGATAATACGGGTGGCCCGCTTTGAGGGCGAACTTTCGGCCTCCTGGAGGACTCTTCGAGTTCCCTTTGATTTTCGCCTTCTTCCCGAGGAGGTTGCCCAACGAGGTCTCGTAACGACGCGAGGCCAAAGGTCCACTTTTACTCTCGCCAGAGGAGCGTGGAACGGTGAAAGTCACGCGAGTTGGCTCGAGTCGGTGACACGATGACTCAAGATGACTCAAGATGACTCAAAATGACTCAAAATTGGCTCGGAATGACGCCAGATGGAGGAACGAAGAACGAAAAAACGACCACGGATTCCGAGCGAGGACGATTTATCCGATACGTGTAGAGTTATGCGTTAAAGTAGGATGCCGTATATACTACATGCTATCCTATTTTGTGTACCCGCGGGTGTACGGTTTTCATCTCTCGATGCAACGATCGTCCTCGCGGCCGTTAATAGGCATCGCGGCATCTTCCAAGGACCTTCCCACGGCGCCTCGTCTCGAGATCTCGCGCTGGACCATCTCTTGGATGATTACGAGCGACGATTCCTCGGTCATTCGTTCTCTCCACCGTGACGTCGAACGACGGAGCCTGCAATAGAAAGGAGGATGTCGGTCTTGGGGAGGCGTCGTTCGGGATGTTTTTTGCTTGAACACCTTGAGAAACTCCAAGGAGGTCGTGAAAAAAGCGAGATTTCGAGTTCTCGCGAATTTAATCGATTTTGTCGACTCGCCTCGACGACGAGTCGTCCACCGACCACCTCGTCGTCCTCCAAGGAAGGAAAGAAAGGGGGGGGGGATATCAAATCCTGGATAAGTAAACTCATTTACATCGAGTCGAGTCATCGAGTTCCGGCGGGCAGCTTCGAATCAACGATCTCTCATTGTTCGATCTCGAGATGCAAATCGGGAGCGTCCCACTTCATTCGTGCCTTTGCCTTCCCTCTCTCCAGGAAAATTCAAAGGTCTCGCCCGAGTCATAGAAAAAGGAATTAATTCTATTTCCCCCGTCGTCGAAAGATCCGTCCACATCCCCTCCTCCTACCTCTCTGCTTACATTTCTCCCTTTTTCGTAACACCAAAATCGACCGACGACGCGATAAAAATCGATCGAACGTTTCGACTGGCGACCGAAAGGAGAAACTTTCGTTCGGTTTCCCTCGTCTGCCCCCGTTCGCGCTTTCGCCACTTCCCATTTCGAGAACTGGTTTATCTTTTAATTTTTTAAGGTTAGTCGCGGTCGCTTCACGACTCATCGAACGATTCTCTTTTATTCTACGTATTTCGTAACATCGGCAAATGTACCTATGGACGAGCTCCAAATTTTCCAAGGCCTTATCAAAAATGGGTTTAATCCAGCTTGGGAAATTAATAGGGGGTACGTTAAATGCATCGGCAATGATATTACAAATTTGGCATATCGTGTCGAAACTTCCAATACGCGTTTCCTGAATTTATTACAGTTTCCTTTAACAGGATCGAGCGAAGGAAAACGGAGGAAGCAAGGCAGACGTTCCTTTTTCTCTCATTTTTACGTCTCCCTTTCTCTCTCTATCTCTCTCTGTCTCTGAATGAAGCGTTCGCGCTTTAGAGCCAAGAGTTGCTCTTCGTTCGAGCACTTTATACCCCCGAGATCGAATTAAGCGCTCCAACTAAGTTAAAGCTCGTCTTTGACGCGCCGGTCGTACTCTTTATGCCGGTCTCTCTTCCGATAGAGAGATACACGCCGTCTCTTCTTTCCTTCCCGAGGAAAACGTCCGTCGAGGGAAAGCCGATCGGGAATCGTTTCTTCGACCCGCTTGCGCAGCCGGAGAAACGATCTCGTTGATCTGTCGGAATGCCGACGGTACGTTTCCGCTCCGCGTTTAATAAAGCGACCCGTGTCGGAGGTGCGGACCTTCGCGGGTCGCGAGTCCACATTAGCCCCGGTGTTCGACAGGTCACTTTCGTCGGTTTTTGTTATTTGATCGGTCGAACTCGGAAGCGGACTTCCGGTATATTTCGCCCCGCGGAGCACCGCGGAGAGCGTATGGCCGATAGGAGGCCGAACGTTAACAGGGAATCGCAATTACGAAGAGCGACCAGAGGGTTCCGAAAAGTACACGCGCGGAGCCTGGAAGTGAGGCGCGTCATGTGCGCACGTATATTTAAATATATGGGCGCATGTATATTTACATATGTAGGGCGCATGTATTTTCGCCCCGCTTCGGCGAGGAGCTCGTTGTAGGTGGAGCGTGTACGCGGGTACATACGCCGGAGAATGAACGTATTATCGGTTTACATAACCATTCTCTCGGAGCTTCGAGAGAAGCTGTCTCGTATCAAGGGCGCCCCGAGATGATCGAATCTCAATTAGCCCCGTAATTAGTCGCACGATGACACGGCGCCGAGGAACGCGATCGCAAAATCGAGGATTTCCTGCCCTCGATCGTCGAGATCCTGGACCGACGTTTGCAGGTTATCGACACGAAGGACCTAGAAATCCTCGTAAATCTTTGAAATTCCATGGATTTCGAACGATCCGCGGGTACCAAAATCGAGGCGAAGAAACGAGCTCTCCAAGATCCTCTCGACGCGTGCGCGAGTTTCCAGTTGGAAGATCCGTGCATTCGTTATGGACGGTTATGGCGTTTTAATTCAAGGAAGAAAATAGAAAACGAGGACTTATCGCGATAGCGTTGCACTCGGTCAGGGTTAAACCTTCCTTCTTCCAACCGTAAATCCATCTCCGAAGTCAATGAAAAGGCAGGCGTCGAGTCACGCTCGTCGAGTACGCAATTTAACCCCCTCCAGAGATAACGCAAAGTAACCGTCCGATGCAGAGAAACGATTAATTTGCAATTTATAATCGAACTCCTCGGTTACGACGGGACGACTGCGTTTGACTTTGCGTTTGACGTTGCGTTTAAATTCTGCCTACGAGCACCCTCGAACACCCCCTGGACTAAGCCGCGCATCGTTTACGGACGCACATTTCCCCGGGGCGGAAATTCAGGGGATAAGTCCCGCACTTCGACAGGGCGTCCCTCGGATTCTCCGAATGCTTTCGTCGAGTTATGCTCATCACGGTGTTCATAACTCCTGGCGCGCCGGCGCGACACCTCCGACACGGGTCTCCACTTTGGCCTTGGCGGGCTCCAGCCCTAAATCCGACGTCGACGGACCCCTTTGTCAGGACTTCCGCGACCCTCGGCCCCGTCGAGGGCACGTAGCCGCGACACGCGCGGCCACTTCGACGCATTATACTAATCGCTGGAAGCGCCGCCGTCCTCTCGGGCCCCGAGGATTCCCGCGACCGCGGAATAAGGAATGGCGCCCAAGAAATGCCCGGCTTTTAGAATTCCTCCCGGAAACGGATTGCCCGGGGTGGCGCCCGAGAACCTCGACCGAGAACCTCGACCGAGTTCCGCGCCAAGTACGTACGAGCGTGGAAACGCGGAAGCCTGCCTTACCCTATGGGTAAGCGGATAAAACGTTTTCATAGAAATATCGGATGCTTTCGAAGAACTTTCTTTTGAAAAATGGTAAGGGCAGTCTTGGGCTTGGTTTTGCACCTTCCGCGCGTCTCGCGGAAAAAACGACGAGTGGCGGAAAATCTGGAGACTCTTCGGGGTCGAAGCTGCCGCCTCGCGGGACGACTCCCGAGACAAGAGCCATTCGATTACGGGTCCCGCGGAAACGCCGCGGATTCTGGCGCGGAAACGCCGCGGATTCTGGCGCGAGCCTTTATCGTGGGCCGCGCCGGAGTATGTGCGCGGAAATGAGCTAATCTCCGGTACGCCACCGGGCACTGCGCGGTCGCCCGTTAATGGCCTCGAAGAGTCCCCAGGTTTCCGTGCATCCGACACCGCCGCGACCTGTCGCGGAAACGTGACGCGGCCGAGACGCTGGCTGCGGGGAGAATTACGGAGTCTGGTGGAGCGATTAATTGGGGGCGCTTTTGGATTAACGCTCTGGCCGCGAAAAAGTCTAACCGAGAGACCCGATCGACGAGGTCCGAATCGCGAATCGGCGGCGACGTTCGTTTCCCATTATCGACCTTGGCGATTAAATTTTATGTTTCACCGCCCCCGCGGACAATGGCCGATCGGCCTCCCCCGACACGGATCATTGTGATTTATTTGTCGGGGGGGAGGCGAAACTAAAATCCGCCATTAACCCGGTATTTCCGCTCGACTTCCGTCGAAGCGACGACTCTTGTCTCTCGTAAAGTGCCGGCAGCGGGGGGAGGTCGTATCGTCGACGGAAGCGTTGTAAAGTATCGTAAGGTATCGTAAAATATCGTTTCGTGATAAATCGGAAAATCGGTTTCGAGACCCGCGCTCTCCTTCGCTCTTCTCTTCCTCTTTTCGCGCTCCGAAAGGTTCTTCGACTCCGCCTCTTCCTCCTGTCTCGTCCTCGAAGATTCCTCGCCCAACGCGTCGCTGCTCCTCTTTTTCTTTTCATTGTCGGATATCCAGCGAATCCACCGCACTTCTCCGAAGAATCGAATAACGATTCGATCGTTATTCCGCGGCGAAGCGCGTCTCCTTTCTCCGTTCGAAGTTTGGTTCGTCCACGCGCGCCTCCTTCCGCCGCCCGGGCGAGTCGCGCGGAGCTTCCTCGGGACGTTCGATAAACGAGTTTTCTACTTTACCAAAGTCGAAGAGCGCCTAGAAGCCGCCGCCTAAAAGTCTCTCGGGCCTTCTTTCGGCGCCCCTCGAAAAGCGCCGAAAAAAGATCCCCGTCAAAGAAGCCGAAGAAGAGGAGCATCGATCGAGCGGACCCGCCGCAAGGGAAACCAGCTGACGCAAATCCGATTTCCATTGGAGTACTTTTTTCTCGGCGTCGAGTCGGAAGCGCGGGGGTCGCGCCACGTGCGCGGCGTAAACCAAATGAAATCCTCGCGGCGTCCGGCCTTTAATAAAACCGGAACCGTCGTCTCTCGACGATGCCTCGAATCCGAATAAAACGTACAAAACTGATATAAGCTCGCGCGAAATCGTGTCACGCTAAAGGGTACCGAGAGAGGTTACGAATCGGATTTAAAGCGAGACGAAAAGTCACCTCGTGGTTGCCAGGTCGGGCCGCGAGGCGGCGCTCGGTCCGCGGACGGCCGTGGGAGAGAGAGGGTCCACCGCGCTCGATACGGGCGCGAGGGAGAGGGCCGACGAGCGCGCGCGTCTCGCCCCGCCCTCCGCGGCGCCCCCTCCAGCGGCGATCGATGGCGCGCGGCGCCCTCCGCGGCGCGGCGCCACCGGCGCGCGGCCGCGGCCGACCGCTCAGTCTGAACTCGGACGCAGTTCACTCGGTCCACCGGCGCTCGTCACGAGACTTCGACCCTCCTCCCTCCGGCTCTACGCTTCGGGCCCGCCCGACCACCGCCTGCGACCGGCGCTCCAGGTATGTGTACGTCTTCTCGTCCTCGCGACCCCGTTTGCTCCTCTTTACGCCCCGGTGTGGCGGGCGCGCGACCTTTCGCCGGCCTCTGCGGCCTTTTCGAGCGGGCTCGTATCTTTCCCCCGTCACGAGGAAACGGAGTTCGAACGATGCGGCGAGATTTTAAATACGGAACGCGGAGGATGTGGAATAACCAGTGGTCCGCCCCATGTGACTCGACCCCCTCGTCTCCCGCGCGCGTTTCCGGGATTCCTTTCTTCTCTCCCGTTTTTCCGCTCTATCCATTTTGACGAAAGCTGCCGCGGTTCCTCGCGTTTTCCTTCTCCCTCCAGGCTCGGCCTAGCTCCTTCTCTCTCCCGCCCACTCCACCCTCGCTCGCGCTCTCTCGCGCTCTCTCGCTTCCCTGCACCGCCACGCCGCGGAGGTTAGGTTAGGCCGCCCATCGATTTTGACGGCCTATCGTTTCAGGTGCGCTTCCGCGTTCTTCCGCCGCTTGCGGGAAACTGCACTCTTTCTTTTCGATTCTTGCCCTATCGAATGCGGACGTTCTTTTCGGTCAAACAAAAAGGGTCCCCGTGAAAGGACCTCGCGATACAATGCAGGAGGTGCATTGTCGGAAGTCCTGGCTCTCCTCGGGGCTCCTCATCGAGGTCCCGAAATAAGGTTGCTCGGAGGTCGGCCGAGGTCGACTCGATCCCCGATAACGCCGGTCGATATCTTCGATCGAGGCGTCTCCTGGCCTGTCCAGGGCATACGTTAATGGTGTTTTAACAACCGACTTGCGTTATGCATGAACTGCAAACGCCGTAATTATCCGCGAGTTGAAAAGTGCGACTTAATTGCAAGGCTGATTGCGGCCCGGGTAAACGTAATTAGTCCCGGCTTGTTTGGAATCGGAGCAACGGGCGCTGTTTAAGAAGAGCAGATGTAAATATGGATTATTACTCCGACTCGACAACGGCTCGGCGGTTGGCTCGAGTTGAAATGGACCGCCCCAAAGAGAACGAATCGTCCCGTACGTTTTGCGAAGGGAAAGTAAGCCGGAAACGGTGGACTTCCGCTGTCGGAACGGTCAAACTCCTCGCAAACGCGTCCGTTTTGGCGTGTGCGCGTTTCCGCAGTCTGCCGTATCGGTCGGGAGGAATTCGCGGGCGGAACGGAGGTTCGTTTCGAGGAGACGCGCGAGTAACTACCGCGAACTCCCCTCGAGAGGAGGATCGGGCCGACTGCATACCGGGGTTAACTACTCGGCGCAACTACCGGCCACGGTTGCCCCAGACTTTCGCGGCTCCTGCTGGGGGAGGTTAAAGAAACTCGGAATAGTTGCGAAACGGTAGATCGGATGCCGCGATGCAAATTAATGGTCGGGTTAAGGGTCATCGGGGGAAACTGGTGCTCAGCGACGAGATTACCCTTTGTCGCGGAAAGAAAAAAAAAATGGTCCGGACGTTCTCGTTGGGCACGTTTCGCTCCGGCGAGACAACGGTGATCTTCGGGGCGGTGGCTCATCAGGGGATGGGCGAGAGGGCGAAGTCGGCCGGCAACCGGCGATTCTCGAACCGACCTTGTATCGAGGGGGGAATGAATAATGAATCGCCCGGCGATCGATACCTCGAAGATCGAAGGCCCGCGGACATAAGGCGCCCGCCCACCTCGGGGCGGACGAAATAAATCAAGGCCGCCCTGACCGCCCGGCATTATCGGACGCGCATTACCTCCGACAACATCGCGAAATCCTATTACGCGGCCGATAATTCGTGCCCGGGGTCGCGGCCAAGTTCCGCCCGGGCGGGATTTAAATCGGCGGGAAAGGCGCCGCGGAGTCGCCATCCGCGAGAGAACTCGATAACTCCGGGATAAGGATAGCGGGAATTTATCGAGCCCTCCGCGGCTCCGCCATATTTCGCCTCCCTTGAACGACCCTCGAACTTTTCCAGCAGGGAACCCACCCCCGCGAGAGGCCCCCCTTTTCCGGAATACGATGCCGCGGGACGGGATTTTGACGGGACTTCGAGTCCTGTCGGGAGACGCAAGGGTTGCGCCGGGTCGGGATCGACGGGAATCCTTCCCGACACCTGACCCCGGGGTCCCGAGGGAGAGGGCGGGCTGTCCGCGGACATTCCCTAAGTGAAAAATTGATCGACCCCGTCCCTCCCGTTTTTCGTGCCGCGGGACTCGGAAGGGGTAGGCGAGGGGCGGTCTCTCCCTCGGGAGCTCGAAATCCCGGAATAGACGCCGTCTGCGGTTTCGGCCGTCTCTTCCAGGCGAGACACGCGATTTGACGGCGAATCGAGCATCCCCGATTCGAGGCCGCGCGAAATTGGATGCCGAAGAGGGTGGCGCGCCTCGACGTCTTCTTCGGGGTCTCTCGTCTCTCCGCGCGAAGTTTCCGTCTTTCTCCTCCTCTCCGCGATCCTCTGCACCTCGTTGCATCGCCTCGTTGCGGCTCTCCCTTTCGAGGTCGGTTTTTCGGGGATTGCCCGAAGGCGCGTCTAGGAACCGAAAGACGAGTCCGACGCGACACGGAAACGGAGCGTGAGTACTTTTATTTTTAATTATGGACGCGGGGAAGGGGGAAAACGGTGGCCCGCAAACGTCACCTCTCGATAGGAGGCGGAAAAGCGGGAGAGGGGGACGACGGCGAGTCCGCCCTTCGCGACGTAACTTTGTTATCGGGGACGTCCGTCAAGCCCGTCGAAACGTTTCCGTTGCTTTGTGGATCGACGGCGACGCCTCGACGGCTTATCCGTTTAATTAACGAAACAATGTCCCGACGAGATCGCGCGTGCCGGCCCGAGGGGACTCCCTCCCTCCCGCCTTTTGTCGCGTCCGTTGGTTCCGGACCGACTTCCTTGGTCTTCACTTGCATCGCGACTCGGTACGACTATTTTTCGCTAGACGAGATTCGGGGGTAGATTCGAAGAGAATTCGCGATTTTTCGGTAAATGGAACCGCGGGAAAGGATTCTCGAGGAAAAGGAATTTATTGCTCCGATATCTTCGGAAGTCTTTCGGGATGGATTCGAGGCGCACGATTTTCGGTGGAACGTCTTGCCGCGATTTTTCGGTAAATAGGTCTTCAGGGGTGGATTCGAGGGAAACGAATTTTCCCGAAATTTATCGTTTCTATATTTTTACGAGAAAGGCATCGGGGGTGGATTCGAAACTGACAAATTTTCTGAAATTTATTGCTCCGATATTTTTAGAAGACGAGACATCGGGGGTGGAACCGGGGAAAACGACGCCGCCGCCCTCTTCTCGAAATCCCTGCTCGGTTGGGAAAATCGAGCTCCTCCCGTCCCCTCTTGTCCCTGACTCGTATGTGTAACTTCCGTCGGGGCTTATTACGGTGATTTTTCCCTGGACTGGTCTCGGGGTGGATTCGCGGGGGTCGCGGAGACAGGAGAAACATGGCGGGACATAAAGAACGGGCACCGCCGAGAGGGGCCCGGTTCGTCTCGATGGCCTCTTCTAGGTTGGGAGCGAATCGTGCGAATCGGCGAATGGAAATTTTCTTACCTTTATTCCGTCGATCGCCGACGTCTTCGCGATCGTCGAGGGCTACCGCTACGCGATTTGCATTCCCCATTAGTCTTCGGGATTCTCCTTGCTGCGGATTCCGCGAATTTGCGATTTGCAACGGGACTCGCGCTTAATGGCCAACGGGATCCATCCGGTCGATCGGCCGATCGAGTTGCGCGTCATCCCGGATTCGGTCTCGCTCGAGTCGTTTGCGAGATTTTCAACAATGATTTATAATCCACTCTCGCGATTTCGGTAGAGAGGCGCGAGGGATTTTCGCGGTCGGAAGCGAACTCGCAGGATCGTTCGGGATGTTCTTTAATTTGTTTTCGCGGTTTTAGTCAATCAAATCTGAGCGAGAGATCTTCGCGAGCGACGGCGAGCTCTCTTTCCAGATTTATCCGGACAAACGGAAGTTCGCTCGCGTGAATTTCGCAGATAAATTGAATTCCGCTAGCGCGATCCCTCCAAACAAAGGCAAACTCGCTCGCGAGAGGAAATGAAATATCGGGCGGTCTACGACAAACCGAACGGGAAAATAGTAACAACGTGTTAAAGAGCGGTCATTGAGGGGATTGGCAGGCGAAGCGAGGACGAGGGGCGCGTTTAACGGGAGGCGCTCTCCTGAAAATCCCAGCCAGAGGGGACTCTCCGACCAGCCCGAGTGGCTTGGACGACGTCGTTTCCGATGCATTTTTGTCGCGTTCTCCTCGTCATCCGTTTCCACCGCGATTTCTCCGAGTTTTTCCTGCGTTTTCGTCGCGTATCGATATGCGCTTTCGATCGCGATTTTGCTGAGCTTCCACTCCGCGTTATCGCGCATTTCCGTCGCACTTCCGCCGCGTCCTCTCCCCGTGATATCTCCTTTTCGGATCGAGGGACAGGCGGCAACGGGAGAAAGTGGAGTTTCCTCGAAATGTGCTTTAGCACTCCGAGTACATTCTGCCGTCCATCCGGCTCGGAGCTAACGCGAGATTCGTGCTCGTACTCGAGCCGACGCAACGGAGCCGTTTTTCCAATAAATAATTCCGGGGCCATTCCGTCTCCGTTTTCTCTTACGCTCCCCGAGACGGCCCTCCCAAGGCCCGACGGCTTTTCTCCCCGAAACGCGTTTAGGCTGTCGTTAAACATTCACCGGATTTAGATTCCGGGTTTTCGCGCCGACAATCCCCTCCCCTAATTTTCCTGGGGCCGATGCAATGGGATATCTGTCAGCGATCAATTTTTATGAACCAATCAACCCATGAAATGCATTCATCGAATTAATTCGAGAGGCCGGACCGACGGGCACTCCTTCGAGGATGGGGGGGTCCTTGCTTCGGTCGACTTGGGTTAGATGCAAGAATTTGGTCCTCCAAGAGCGACGTTAACGATCCCCAGGCAGAACGAGGTAGAGAGGGAGAGAGGATCGATCAGCGATTTGTCTTAAAGGAGGAATCTCGGGTCCGCCGGCGGCGCTGGGTAAACGCGGTCATAGATTAC